GGGATATGCTGTGCATTCGGAGCTATCTTATTATTTTTTTATCTTTTATTTTTATACATTAATGACATTAATATGTTTTTTTATTGAGGTTTTATCTTTATTTATGTACTTTTTAAACGTAAATGTTTTTTAGTAAATGCATTGACATAATGTGCCAATATATAATACATGATTTTTTTTAATTATTAATTATTTTGAGTCATAAAATGAATATTATACATACCCGAGGGTGTAAATAAGGGGTGGTGAAAGGGAGCGGTGTAACACGATTGCGCAATTTTTCCTTATTTGATCCAAATAATTACACCACGATTGCGCCTTGATCCATTTTTACCTGATAAAATCACAACACCATTGTGCACCAAATAATAATATGTGTAAGATATATATATATATACTATGTATAATAATTGATGTACAGTATAAAATAATGTATACAATGCATATTTTCTATAATTTGCATATACATGCACTCAAACTATTAATTCGCAAAATGCACTTTTTCAAAATCGAAATGAAAAGTTGATTAAGCTAATGATAGTTATAATAATAATTACAACTAATGACTATCAGTATAGAAAAAAACAATTTTTAATAAAAAAAAATGTTTACTATTGACCATGTCAGTATATGCATTTAGCATATATGTAATTTAGAAAAAAAAAATGATTTTCAACCAAGCAAAGTTTGAATGCATGTACATAAAAATTATATGTAGAAAGTAAGTATTTGTATACATTATTTTATGTTGTACATAAATGATTATACATAGTACATATGCACATATTATTATTTGGTGCGCAATAGTGTTGCGATTTTATCAGGTAAAAATGGGTCTAGGCGCAATCGTGGTGTAATTAGTCGGGTCGAAAGAGGAAAAATTGCGCAATCATGTTGCAACCGAAAGAGAGGAAATGTTTATACGTTACTACTAATTTTTATGATAATAGAGTACAGACACCACGGGGTTGAACGTGACGTGTTTCCCGTGGTGCTTTACAGGCCCTGTAGTAATACAGGATGGCCGGTTTTGGCTTGATCGCGAAATTTCGCTGGAAATGCGATTCCTACGGTGATCCGCCGACTGCACTTCCTGATGATGGCCGTTTCTGGCCTTCGTGGTCTTTCCTTCAGCGAAATCACCTCCCCACGAATTCGAATCTTTCGCATGACGCTTTCTCACGTTCAGAAGTATGTCGATCATGCGTATGGTTTGCTGAGGCAGAGGAATGTTGCCCGCGAACCCGGTGGCCGAGTAGGTTCTCAGTTGTTTGTACACTTGTCTTGGGGCATCGATAACCTGTACAAGAACAACTCGCATGAACATAAAACGGTAGGATTTACCGGAAATAACCGGTGATAGTTATGTACAGGTACTGAGACCCATGAACGTGAATAGAGCAAGGAGAGTTAGGAGGGCATAGCCTCAAAGGACTAAGCAATGAATGTGTATCGAATGAAAGACAAAACTTCCTGATTTTTTGTTTTCGAAACTTTTTGGACTACTATTCACGTTCATGGCTGCGACGATAACTATAATGCGTCATAATGTCGAACGTAAGTTTTTCACAGTTCGCACAAAAAAAAAAACAACAATATTTATGATTATGATTTCAATGACGTATGTTATACGATACATAATTGATATTACTTCTTCAAGCTTTGGTGCGATTACGGTCAGTAAAACGCAGAGACATTCCAACGAATGCGCGTCATGTATCTGCATAAACGTGTTGATGGTACTCATTACGGTTTTGAATATTTGATCCCGCATGAACAGTTCACCCATAAACCTGTGAAACACGTTGCGTACAACGATTATAAAATGTTCATATATTGCTACAATAACAGGGATTTCAATGCAAATTGTATTTTTTTTTTCCGAATGTCACAAGGTTCGTTTCATACACCGATGAAAAAAATAAAACATTTAACCTTGACCGTTTAGATCGGGTTTTTTTTAATTTTTTTTTCGAACATTTATATCCGTTTAACCTAACACTTCCAACCCGATTTTTACCTGCACGTTCCATGCGTACGGTCACGAGCTTTTACGTCGAACCTCTGTTCCGATCGCCTCGGGTCCTCAAGCTGTCGAGCTGTTCTCGTCCGGAGCAATACGCCGGCTTCGGTCAACACGGCCCTGCAACATTTTATCAGTTCGGTTTTGAACGTGATCGACAATCCTTGAGGTATGATCGTCCTCGAGTCCACACGTGTATTTTCGATCACTGTGCAACATAGTGTCGCGTATAAGGCGCAGTTATCGGACTCGTCAATCGCCTGCACAAGAAGCAGTTAAATAATAACTCGTTATAAATAATCACGCGTAAATATTGTTTTTAAATTAAACGTGGAAAGACGGTGAATATGTCCCGGACGGTACTGTACATTTGACACAACACAATCCGTGATCATCTTCAAGTAAAATTTATTCTCGCGGTCCGCTTGCGCGATTACATCGAAAAATCGTGTGGCGTTTTCCTGAAACGTGTCCCATGTAATATTTTTTAACACCGCGGAAGCACTGTTGACGTATTTCTGCGAACAATGTAAAAAAGTCGTTTTCTGAATATTACTACCGACACAATGCGAGTAAAGTAAAAGCGTTGTGTTGTTTCTTGACTGTATTCAACTGGACCAGACCCTATTTCTACTACTATATACGTTTGTGATATCATAATGATTTACTATAGTATTTTTGCTTTATCTCATCGCAAACTCCATTCATTGGACATAATTATTATCTAATGCATCATACCACTCATGGTGGTTTCTAATTACCTCGTGCGGTTCAAAGACATTGAAAGATCTATTTGACTCCTCAGTGGATCCGGTTACGGGTAACTTCGTGAAAACTGGTATGTGGTCTGTACTTTCCGGATGTTGAGAGACCGAATTTACGGTAAGCTCGATGATATTATTTCGACTCTGTTGGTCACATAGTTGATTTTCACTGATTGACTCTTTTCGAGCAACTTCTTTTTCGTTAGTGACGAACACTTCTAATTCGTGCAACAGTAGCGTTTTTATCTGCTGCATGCACGTCTACAAGTGAATACGATCGAAGTGTTGTAAATCATTAATTTTAGCATGTTTACCATTAAGATATGCACTCAAGGTACTTACCGAATTTACGGAACCATTGGTTGAAGCACTATACGGTCCGCATTCGAAGACCATTTTCCATTCCGTTGGTAAATAACTGACTGTAAGTACCAACGGCAACTTATTACTTTTCATATAATCGCACAGTTCACTCGGAATGTCCATTTCCGGATCGACCAGTACGATATTCTTGTCAAACGCTCTCCTCACTGCTTTTCCAGACACTCGTTCCTTGCACAATTCGATCTGTGTAAGCACACGCATGTGTTCGAAATAACGAATAGTTTATAACAGTGAGTACATTTTAAAACGCATCGTAATAATTTCACCGACCTCGGAGTAAGCGTCTTGGGACTCGTTATTCGATTCGGGACCCTTGTCACTTCGGGCTTGCCAGTCCGATGTCAGCACCGCGTTTTTGGTGTAGCCGCAGAACACCTGAAGCTTGTGTAAAACATGTCGCTTGCACTGGCGCACGCACGTCTAGTGAAAACAGTTGATTAGATTCAAAAATACAAACAGCCGATATAAATCCGTTTCGGTTTTCATTATACAAGCAATGGGAAACTGGTGTTTTGCGTATTTATTGTATTGGTTTAATCGAAAAATCAAATTATATAAAGTAAATGTTGACTGTCAATTTGAATGACTTTTTAATTTTTTACTTTCATTACTCGGATCCGCCAGATTTTAAAATTCTATACATTGACCCTCTACCTACTTTGAGTTGCACATCCCTGTACTATACAATATGTATACGCACCGATTCATCTAAACCGTTCACCGAAGCGATTTGCGAGCCAATACGGTAACTGACTTCTAATCCGGTTCTACGGTACACAATTATCAGATCCAACGAACAATTCATGATTGTCGATAAATCACGAAGCTGTTCATCGATCGTACGTTTCCGCATCTTGTTCATGCAATACATCGCCATATTTCTCTTCAATGATTTTGTGGCAGTAGTTTCTTCGCTGATCATGCTACTAGAATCCATCGCGTTAAATTATAGCACCGTCCGGTATTTTATAGAAACAGAATATATATAATTGTTTAACAATTGAGAATATTATAAAAATCTCTGTAAAGTTTTTTATAATATCCGTGCAAGTCGAAGAATAATATAATTCAGCAACAATCAAACATTCGATATATCAACAGATTAACCAACGAACTATATAGTTGTTTGATTTTATTTGTTGTGGCCAACTACTTCAATAAAAGTGAATTAAACACAATTAATAATGATAAAAATAATAATAAAATTTTAATTAATTCAAAATTAGCCGTATAATAAGTCATGCATTTTGACAAAAGTGTATTTTTTCCAGGGCTTCAAATCGGTTAAACCCGTTTTATTTATTAACTGCTTTTATTGGAAAATGTATATTTACGAAAACAAAAATGGAACCAAAATTACTTTTTTTTTCGAGTCTGGATTACAGGTCATTTTACTAGTAAATAAATATATAAGCATCATTACATGTAGACTAACATAAACATATAAATTAACAAAACGTCATCAGGTAAATATATAAATACTAAAACAGGTGCATAAAATAAAATAAGATATAATTAATGTACTAAGTAGATATTGGCAATTCTCATAATGGTAATGGTAGCAACGGGTAATTTTAGAGGTCATGTATGAAATTGTGTTTTTAAATTTCGTCACTCCAAAATTCTGCCATCCTTATGGCCTTGTTATTTGCGGATTATAAGTCTATTACGTTACATTTTACTGGGCTTTCATAGCAGTTTAGCAGGTGCGACATTGTCTGGGTCTCTCCGCATACACAGTCCGTGTCTTCCTTCCCATCGTTTATTCCCCATTTTTTTAGGTTCTCCCTCGAACGTCCTACTCCTGTACGTAAGCGATTTAATGTCTTCTAAATCACCCATTTATTGTCATGTCCTTGGGGTATCTTCTCTTCGACTATTTGCCTGCTCTCCACCTCCCACAATTTCAATCTTGCTGAATGGTGATAACCACAATAACTAATTTTATAAAACGAAAACGAAATAGTTAACCAGAAAAATATTTTTCGTTCTCGAACGGAAATAAATACATTTTTAATGAAGAAAAATAATTAATATTTAATTTTAGTTTTTACACATTTTTTTAAGTTGGTCAACCTGTTTTGTTTGACCAAAGACAGGTAAAAATGATTAGATAAATATAAAATAATTTGCAAAGTAAAAATTAAACAGTTAAATAAACTCTCCTTGACGGTATTCTCTACCTCTTCTTCCAGTTATGATATATTCCGTTTTTTTGTCATTGATCTTTAGACCACATTTGCCTGTCAAAATTAGTTTTCTACAATTCTATTTTACAGTATCTAAATTATTTCTCAAAAGGGCTAAGTCATCGGCATATGCTAGTAAACCTATTGTCGTGTTACCCATCGCAACCCCGTCAATAGTATTTATTTCTCTGACAATTTTTTCAAGCACTAGATTAAAGAGGACGGGAGAAAGAGCGTCTCCTTGTCTTCAGCCCGTAGATACTCTAATTGTCTCTGATACTGCATTCGCAATTTTAATTTTTATCGAAATGTTTTCAAGACTAGCCTTAATCAAGTTTACTAGTTTTATTGGGAAGTTAAATTCTATTAATATGTTGATTAAGGTTAGTCTATGGATGGAATCATATGCTTTCTCAAAATCGATAAATAGAATGTATAACTCTTTATTGTATTACCATGACTTTTGTGCAATTTAGCGAGTACAGAAAATCTGATCCGTTGTAGACCTGTTAGATCAAAAACCCACCTGGTATTCTCCCAGAACACCTTCCGATAAAGGTTTTATCCTATCGAGTATACAATACGCCAGAATCTAATAGGCAACATTTATTAGAGCTATACCTCTATAATTTTTACGGTCTTGAGGGTCATTCTTCTTATATATTGGACATATTAACGAAGTGTTCCAATCTTCCGGGAGTCTCTCATTTTCCCAAATCAGTTCTATTACTTCATGAATTTTAGATATCGCTTCTTCATCTACCCTCTTCAGAATTTCTGCTTGAATACCATCTTCTCCCGAGGATTTATGATTTTTTGGCCTTTTGATTTGTACGGCAATTTCTTGTTTAGAAAGTGTTGGATAAACGCTATCATTTGTAGTTATGTTTAATCTTGGAAATTTTTCCACTGGATCATCACAGTTAAGGAGTTTCTCAAAATATCCAGTCCACTTCTCCAGAAGCTTCCCTTGTTCAGTCACTAGCGTCTCATCATCTTCTCTTAGAAACCTCTCTCATTTCTTATATCCTCCTCTTGTCGTGTTTATTTTCTGATATAGTTGTCGTAAATTATTTATTCTAAAATTTTGTTCCGCTTCTTCTAACAATTTTTGGGCGCACAACCGTTTTTCTCGTCTTAATGTGTTATATGCTTCTTTTTGGTATCGTTTATACTGTTCTTATTTGTCTTTATTTGTAGGATCACCAAGCCATGTGGTCCTTAGACTCTTTCTTTGAACTAGTACTTTCTCGCATATTTCATTAAACCATGGATTCTTTATTTTTTTCAGTTTACCCAAAACTAATTCTGATACTGTCTTTATTGAGTCTCTCACTTTTTTCCATCTTTCGTCAATTGACCCTATACTATCAAAATGAATGGTTCTCATCTGTTCCTTTAGTCTGTTTTTAAGACACCAACTCTTCTCTTCGGACTCTAACTTGGATACATCATATCTGTCCAGGATAGTCCCAGTAGATTGAGCGGGATTTTTTAGTTTCACTTTAATTTTTCCTTTAATAAGAAAGTGATCGGAGTCACTATCTGCCCCTCTTACAGTCCGAACATCTTGAATACAGTTGCTGAATCTCAGATTTATTAATATATGATCAATTTGGTTTATATACTTTCCATCCGATGAGCTCCAAGTACCTTTATGTATCATTTTATGTGGAAACATTGTACTTTTAACTAATAGACCTCTTTCAGTTGCCATGTCAATAAGTCTTAGTTCGTTGTCATTACTTGTATTATGTAAGCTATGGCTACCTATAACTGGTCTGAATGTGGTATCTTTCCCAATCTTCGCATTCATATCACCAAGTACAATTTGAATTCTTCTCCTTGGTATTGTGTTTAGCGTGGCCATAACATCTTCGTAAAAATGGTCCTTTTCCTCTTGTCGTTTGTCTTCTGTAGGTGCATGTAAGTTAACGAAATTAATATCAAACGACTGTGTCATCAGAGTTAGGATTGATATTCTAGGGTTTACATCTCTGAAGTCCTTTATAGCTGGTATTAAGCTCTTATGTACCACGAAACCTGTACCAAATTGTCGTTGGTCGTTACACTTCCCATAGAAAACTGTCGTGTCTTGAATATCCACTGATCCTGAATCACTCCATCTAATTTCCTGTAGAGCCACCACTTTAAGTCTATTTTTCTCAATTTCAGATACTACACCCTGTGTAACTCCCGTCTTAAAAATAGTGCGAACGTTCCATGTACCAAAAAGTAAAGCCTTTTTCCAGTTTCCAGTCGTTTTCCCATTATCTCCACTTATCCGAGGCAAATTTGTAAGTACCTGAACACAAAGTTTTTTAAAAGGTAGGGTTGTTAGACCTGCGCCTAACCCCCAACCTGAAGAACCAGAGCTCGGGGCCCCGGGTTCGCCAAACCCGTAGTACTAATTACTTGATACCCCCTGAGGGTTATCATATTATTTATTGTATATTAATATACGGCCTCTGAAACTGAAATTATAAATATTATAAAAAAAAAAAATAATACATTATTTAATTAACAATAATAAATAATATTAAAAAAGCAGTTATAAGATATTAGATAAAACCATATTGAACGTAGGTACTTAAAGTATTTAGAAAATTAGACGTAAGAAAGCCTTTGTACAAATTGACATGCGCAACGAATTATGGCAGTAAATTACTTAAATAGCTTCTCCCAGTGGCATATATAGAGGGGCCTAGTGGGCTACAGCCCCCCCAAAATGTTTTAAAAAACTTAAAAATTATTTTAAATGTTTGTTATATTTTAATGGTGCTTTATGCTTATTTAGAATTTATGTCCAACGTCAAATCGTTTTGGGACATTCTATAAATTAAATGTAGATAAGTATCTACTGTGTCTTGTTAGTAATTCTTAGATAGCAATGGTAATTTAACTCTGTCCATAGTAGCCCCTCCCGAAAATATTTTCTGTATACGCCACTGATCCCCCCCCTTTTTATTAATTTCTAGATCCGTGTCTGAGTCTAAATGAACAGCAGCTTCTTTAAATACATTTAATGCTTCACTTTTTATTTTCTTGAGTGTCAATATTTTATAGTCATATCAATGTATATTGTTGTACACTATAAATAGGGTTAAAGTTCTCAGGTTCTGGTATTTGGAATGGAATTGTCTAGAATTGGTCTGGCCGGCAAATTTTTATAATATGCCACAAATAAATATTGATTTTATTTATACAGAATATATAAATAGTTTATACAATTTATCAAAAAATATACTTACTTAAGATTTAATCTTATTAATATAAAATAAATAAATAATTGATAAACTCATTTATTATTTTAATGTGATAGACTTGAAACAAAACTTGTAAAAAAGTATTTGATTTTAAATACAGGTATCCTGGGAAAGTAAAATACTGCGTCTAAGTATTTTTTCAAAAACTATTTAAAAGGGCGTAACACGTTTCCACCAAAAGTAGACCTTTCCCTTTTCCACCAATATCCGTTTCCACCAAATGAAATAGAATACCTATACTTTTCTTGAGTTTTTCGGATTGATGTAAAATATATATAAATATACACACAATATAATCAATGTATATTGTACGTTTATTGTATTTAATTGTGTGTTGAACCGTTATCGTACTTATGTATATATGTACTTTCATGTCGATTAACCATGATAATATCAAAATGATCAAATACTTTATGAACAAGTGAAAAGATGGCACAGTTTAAATAATGCACAACTGCGTGTGTGTTAAAATAAAACGTAAATTTTAAAATTTATAATCCTATGATGGCTAAAATTATCGAAAGTAAACGTGGAAACAAAATACTAGTACTAAACAACTTTAAATTTTTTATTGAATCAGTTAACAAATATCAACTAATTTTATATATAGTTACAATTTACATAATTAAGGTATCGTGTACCATAATGTCATTTTTTTCCCATTTTTATATCTGACTATTTACAATTAGGTATACCATAATAATTATTATATCGTTTTTTCATCTTTTTATATCTAACCATTTTTTTAAATACAATTTAACATTTTCAAACCTATATTGTATATATTATATAATACCTTTAGATTTATTTAATTAATAGTATATATTAAATAAAATTATTACTGTGTTATAGATTTTTATTTAAGCGTATTATATAATTGCTTTGGTAAAAAGGTGGTCAATATCTCATTTGGTGGAAACGGATATTGATGGAAAAAGGTCTACTTTTAGTGGAAACGGGCATCGCCCATTTAAAATACGTATTTAAGTACTTGAAAAATGTTTCAGTACTTTTATTCAAATACTTAACAAGACTCTAATAATTATATATACCTACTATATACTATATACTTATAGGTGTGTTATATTATAACTTCATATTGCTATTTAGTATTTACTGCGGTCATATCACATAAATAGGTATTACACAATAAATATATAACATATAGGTATTATATTGTGTGACATTATGACATTGTTTTACATGTCTATGCTATATATGCACCACGATAAGAGATGAGATTGTATATTTTTCAAACATTTATTATAAGTAAAGAAGAATTTAATGGTTATTACCTTCGTAAATGTTTTATTGAAAACATTTATTTTTTTCGTAGTAGCTCAAAATTTGAACATAATATATATGGCTACGAAACTATTTTATTTGTAAAATCTCTTTGGTCTCGTGTAATCATTTTTCTTATCAAAGCTCCACCCCAAGTCACCCGTGCCACTTTTTGCCTTTCAGCCTTTTGGTTTTTACATTTTTCTTTACTTATATAATAAATTAAATATTAGGTTAAATATTTAAAAAAAACTGTAAGATTTTCAACTGTAGATGTTTACAGATGATAATGATTTCAAGTTTTTGTATATTATTCTACTATAAATGATAATTTTCTTTGAACAATTGTAGTACCAAACATACATGTTAAAAAATATAATGATTATTTAAAAATATTTATTCTTTGTGAAAACGTGTGATTCCCCTAGTAGTCAAATGCTAACTACAGATGGATACAAATATTGGGGTTCTCAAGAATGCTGTCATAGAGGTGGTGGTCGAGAATGTTACACCAGATATGATTGTAGTGTCATATACTGCCACAAATGGGTCTGTTTACCAAGGCATACTGTTGAACAATGTCAAAAGGTATTTATTTCATTATACATGCTTGATGTATTTTAATATTATATTAAACTTTCAGACGATTTCCATGTGGAAGTGTTCCTTTGATGAATCATGCACTATCACCCAGAAATTTAAAGACTGAATCTGATAATGATGTATTATACGCTGTAAGTCAACGTTTCACCTATTTTCAAAACACCCCAAATACATTTAAAAAAATTCCCAGTAAAACTAAAAAAGTCAGAAAACCTATGACCGTTCGTCTAAGACCACGCCAGGTTCTATGTTCAAAATGTAAATCAATTTGTACAGAAAATTCAGACAATGTTGAAAATTCCAAAGACCTTATTAAAAATGGAAATAGTTCAATTCAAGAAAATAACGGACAAAAAAGATTATTACGAAGTCATGGCCCTGTTCCTGATTTTCCTTCAAAGCCTTCAGAAACTGTATCTGAAGTAAAATCAATGTGCCGTACACTTTTACCGAAACTTGTTAAACTTAAATCTAGAGACATAACAGAGGCACTTAATAACTTTACAACATTCACTGAGCTAGATGAATGGGTAGATAACAAAAAAGACTGTGAAGATAACTGTGATATTGAAGATAATGATGATGAAAAAATGGTGTTAAGAAAAAAACCAAGTATTGGGTCAATGGAAGACCTATGGGATGAAAGTGCATTTGAGGAAACTAAAAAAACACCAATTATTAAAATTACATTTGGATCTCAAGGTGAAGGTACAGTTATGGAAATACCATCCCGTCAAGCTGATGGAGAGAGTGAACCAGATAGACTATTACGTAAAAGAGCTAAACGTAGAAGACAAGATGGAGAAAAAAGAAAAAAACATAAAAAGAGACATAAAGAACATGAGGGTGATCTAAATATGGATAATTTTTCAGTGAATTTAAATCATTATAATTCTACAGAAGATTATCATGTAACAAAAGAAACGAATAGTTCTAAATCCATTAATAATCTAAATGGTGAACACTCTGATGATGATATTGAATCAAACAGTTCACCAGAGCTTGTAATGGTGCCTCAAACAGAATCATCTGATTCTAATTCCTATTTTGTGTTGAAAACTGGTAAAATTCTACACGAAGGTGATGTTGTTTGGGGAAAAGTAAAAGGATTCCCTTGGTGGCCAGCAAAGGTATACAGAAACATAAATTCATATAACATAAAACATTGATTGATTGTATACTTTGAATTAATAATTGGTATTAACTATTAAAGGTATCAAATTTCACTACTAGTAATGGGGAAGAACATGGTTCATTTGTTAATGTCACTTGGTTTGGTTCTTCTACTTCATCATTTCTTAATTGTGATCAGATTAATCCATTTTTAGATTTTTATAAGGTATGTAATTTTCATATTTGTATTAAATAGTACAATTTGGTTGTACATTTTTAAAGATAAATTTTTAATTTGTGTTGTATAGAAATATTATAAAAATGTAAATTGACTACTTAATGTTTATTAGAAAAATTTTAAAAAATTAAAATATTAAATTACGATTTCCCTAATTTTGATTAAGTAATAAATAATAAAAAAAAATTGAAAACTAATAGTTTTAAAATTTTACTAGTTTTAATTATTTTAATTTATTTAGTTAATTTATTTTAATTTTAATATAAGTGATATACCATAATAATAAAAAAAAAAAAAAAAAAAAAAATGGCGATGGATATAAATTTATATCTACTATAGTTATTAATTTATAGTTTTGAACAATCTAATTTAATGTTACTCAGTTTTACCATGTACTAAAATGATTCATTATTGCATTCAAATCTCAAGTTCTAAAACACAAAATGAAGTACATTTTTTATCTTAAAAAAAATATCTTTAAATAAAATAAATTATTATACATTTTCATGATAGTAGTGCAATAATTAATTACAATTCATATCTTAATATCTATATACAGTGTTTTAAAATACATAATGAGGGAAAAATTAAGCTTTTTTAACAATTTTTTTTTTTGTACACAGTTTAGGATTACTTATAATTGTAACCAAATGCATGCTTTGCTTAGCTAGATTACATAAAATATTAGACATTGTAACAATACTATTTTTTTTTATATTTTGAAATTTGAAATTTAAATTTATAATTATTTGTAGTCTCGATTTAACAAACATAAGAAAACAAGTAGTTATAAAGAAGCAATCAAGCAAGCAATGGCTGAAGCTAAACAACAACAAAATACAATCAACCATAATACCAGTTGATAACTGTAAGTTAATAAGTTTTGAGTTATTTAATATTACTTCAAATATATTATTATTATCATTTTTTTTTTTTTTTTTTGTTATTATTAATATTATTTTTATTTTGACACTTTAATTTTAACTAGTCAATTTTTTTGTACAGGTTTTGCATCACAAAAAAAGGCTTAAGAACTCTTAATAAAAAATTATTTATAGCTCTTTTTAGATAATATTTTGAAAGACTTAAATGATAAATGTTGTTGTAGTTATTAAAAAGTTCCTTATTGGATATATCTATTTGAATTTATTCAAAAAGTTTTATTAATTTTTAACTAAATTATATTTTGACATTTTCAATTCTTTTAAATATCTTCTTTTATTATGAATTTGTTGTTTTGGTTAATAAATATTTTTTTTTTTTTTTTTGCAATATTATTGTAACTGTAAGTTATATATTTCATATAAGATTACTATATATAGAGGACCAATATTGTTTTTTCTTATTGATAACTTTCTTTTTCTTATTACTTTACTAGCAATTATCTCATTAATTGAATATTTTTTCAAATGTTCATATTCAGTTCTATATTTTAATTAATGTCAAAATTATAAAAAAAATAATATTAATCATCAACTAAATATTGTAATTGTGATGTCAGTGAACATAAATATTATCATTATAATATTCCATTAAATATTTAATTTTTGTTTATGATTTAATTTGAAAATATGTTGGCTTTAAATTTTTAATTATATATATATATATATATATATATATTGAAGTATTCATAATTTAGTTTTAAATTATTTAATTTAAATAATATATATATTTTCTTGAGTTCTAAATTCTAATGTCATAATATATAATAATTTATTAAGCTCACGAATTTAATCAATGGAATGGGCAACAATATGAACTTATTACAAGATTATATACAATTAAAAAACTGTGATTTTTATGTTTGAATGATGACTTAGAGGTTGTTATTAAAAATTATTTAATATAATGATCTATTAACTTCAACTAAAACTTTTCATTAATTACATGTTTAAAAATAATTTTTGTAATTTTGTATTTATTTATCATTAATATAGTAAAATGTTAATAAACTTAAAAACAATTTCTTCTGTTTTAAACAAACTTGATTTTATAGAAAACTTGTTATAAGTATAAAATAATTAACTTTATCTCATGTACTTATACCATAAGTTTATACTATATTTATTTTACAATTATAAATTGCATTATTTTAATGATTGTGTTGTAGTAGTTATTTGTTTTTAATAGAAAAAATAAATAAATAAAATAAAAATGATGAATATACTAATTTAAGAGCTATTTCATAATCATCAAGTATATTTATGAAGAATAAAAATACATTAAATATTGCTTTATTATTAAAAAATAAATACCTAATACTTAAATTAAATTTTCTTGAAAATGTATTTAATCATGAATGTATGCTTATAATTTTTAACGATATTAATTTTTTGGAATACAATTTTAAAAAATATTATCTTTTCAAATTTAAGAGTGATAATTTAGTTAACAGTACCGAATTTTTTTTTTGTATCAATATTTTTTATTTAATAATTATTGTTTTTTTATGTAAATAAAATTACAATTTATAATATTAAAATTACTATGAAAATATTTATTTCATATTATTAATTAAGTATTCCATCTTCAAATGTAAGTTTAATTTAAATTAAATCTTTTTAATTTAGGATAATCTATATTCTATATAATATTATAAAAACATGCACACTATTTTTATAAAATATAAAGTTTAACTCTTATATAAGAATATGAACTTTAAAAAAAAAAAAAAAAAATGACTGAATATTTATCATTAATATTCTACAAATATTGTTATTCATTAGATTTTGTACACCATATAATAGCATAAAAAATGAAATAAAACAAAGTATTATTTACTGCACTATTTTTAAGTTCAATTGTAAGAATAGTATTGGGGTAAAGAAAACATTTAATTAAATTTAAAGTTTGCATATGTTCCAGGTGTACTAAATACTAATAGTTTTATAATACATTATTATCAGACATTGAATCAAAAATGTTTGATGAAATTGTTACAAGGATAAATATATAGAAAAAATTGTACAGGCAGTAGTTATACCAAAGAGTGAACAATATTAAAATAAATCAAAGTTGTCATCTCAGTTACCATTTATTGTACACTTTACATTATTCCCGTAATGATATTGGTGAATGTTTATATGTAGAATTTTTATTTGTCATAACTATTTTAATTTATATATTTGTTGTTGTATAATTTATAATTATTATTTTTATTATTATTAATATTACTTTTTTTATTATTATTATTATTATTATCATTATCTAGCCATTTAATGAATTATTAAATTAATATTCTTATAATATTGTCATACATTAATAATATTATAATACATTATTGGGTAATTATTTTTTTTTTAGCTAATGGATTAGTTTTAATATGAAAGTAACAAAACTTATTTTTTATACTAAATATTATGTTTTTATTCATGCAGCTTGTTTGTTTTATGCTAAAATGCTATTGATTTTAGAAACCAAAGAAATTATAATAATGTTTGATGTAAAAAATAATGTATGTAATTAAGTTTTTTTATTTATTTTTCATTCCTTTTATTTACGCAAATAACTTACAATAAGATTGATTGTTGGATAAGTGTTGATGATAAAATGTTCTCATACAAAATAAATATATGATTATTTAAATAATTATAAAATTAAAAATAATAATATAAAAGTTAAGTTATATCAATTTTTTCTTCTCGGATGTTACAAAACATTCAGACCAAAAAAGAATAAACTATAATGTAATATTTTGTGACTTAAACATAATTTCTTAAATTAATATTTTGTATAATATTAAACATGAACATCTTCATGATTTTTGTTACCAGAATTATATTATACTTGCATTTTTAGTGCATAACACAGACTGTTTAATCGGTTATGTCTATATTTATTTTGCTCAAAAAAAAAATTACTTCAATATTGTGTATAAAATATCTTCATAATCTATGTAATAATATTGTTTTATTACCAAAAAAATAGTATAAATTATTGAAAGGTTTTGACAATATTTAATTCCTGAATCTATGCAAAATTACATTTTATTAATTCAATGATTTTACATTTTTATTTAATTTAGAGTATTTAAAATATTGTTTTGTTTTATTTTTTTATTCACAAAAAGATATTAATAAGGTTCTATTGATGAAAAATGTAATAATTTTTAAATAAGTAATCCTATTGTAAAATAAGTTATTTTACAATATTTATGTTACTGAGAATTTTTTAATGTAATCGAAAATTCTAAGAAAATTATTGTTTTTCACATTTTTATTTTTTTTCTATTTATAACATGGTAATATATATATATATATATAATATGGTAATATATTTATTAAATTGATTTGTTTAAATTCTTATAAATAAAAATTAAGATTATATCATGTATTTATATTAACTAATTATAAAGTTAAATTATTTATTTATTTTATTTTTATTTTATAAATTATGAATGTAGATTATTATTTAAGAAAGTATATAATGCCTCTAGATTTCTAAATATAACAATTACATCAATTATTATATAATTTTAGAAAAACTACACTTATTTTCACATCTATGCAAAATATAATTCACAGTTTTAAATTAGCTAGATTATGTCTGCATAGACATTCAATTTAATTGTCATTTCAAGAACAATGCAAGTAAAAAAATTGTAATGTAGGTACAGTGAACATTGTAAACATACTACAAATAACTTAATAAGCTGAAAAATTGAAATTTTTTGCACTCTCACCTATTGACGAATTTATTTCCCGGGTCTATGATATTCATTATTTATGGTTTAAATTTATCTTCGATTATTTTTCATTACAATAACATAGAACTTGTTTGATTTATTTTTACCTACCCAAACCTAATTTCAATATTATTATATTGATTTATAATTATGAACACTTTTCGTCCCACCTCTAACAAAACCCCACGTGTCGAAATATAATATAATGAATACATATATTAATATATCATTGTATTCTCTAATATATATAGGCAGATTACTTTCGTACAGATGTGTCGTACACGCGAACGGATCATCGATCGCGCATGTTTTTCGACAATATCAAAACAGTGTGCGACATGAACATATAACGTTTATTAAAAATAATATTGAGGAAAAACAATAATCGCGCGTGCGAAGTACCGTTGCAGAGACATCCGTGTTGTTATTCCGGTCGGGTCCGCGGTCTCCAACCCCTCTCGAACAGCGTAAAAGTGAGGGGTAGTGGGATCGGGCGTGCGCGCGCAACAACGGCGTTTAACGCGCTCCCGTTCGCTTGTGTACACACTGGTCGCGCTTACGCGTAAGGTACCACACCACCACCACCGCCGTCAACAGCACGCAGGATCGTATGGGACGATACAGCACGGCGTATAAATCCGTTCCTGTCGTCGTCGGTGGTGGTGGCATTCGTTACGCGAGGTTCAAAGGGTGGTTTTTGACGGTGCCGGCGGCTGTGCAAACGGCCGACGGGCGAACAACGCGTCATTGTACAAGTCACCCGCGCCAGTCGAACGAACGCGCAACGACGACGGCAATAACAACCGCACCAACAGAGGTCGTAATGCCCTGGGAGTACCGCGGCGACGTTCGTTCGTCGTCCCGGCGGATGAAGATTCGAGGAAACGCAACGTAGTAGGACCTGCCTGCGACGGGTGATCACCATACGAGGCGCGACTCGCGCACGCCGGACTCAGCGCGCGTTCGATGATGAAAACCCGCGTCCGTCTGGTGCTGCTCTTGTTCGGCGGTACCCTGATCACCCTGTACGTAGTGCTCTTCGCCCTCGACGATAAAGCCAACGGCGGCACGACCGAAGTCAAAGTGAGTGTTGATAGCGTTTCCCGTTACAGCAAACCCGCTTTAAGTTCGCTACGGTAGTAGGGAGTTGTTTTTGAACTGCCGGCTATTGTTGTTGTACGCGGTCCTAATCCAAATTGCCTATGCCAGAGGTTCCCAACCAGGGTGCCGCGGCACCCTAGGGTACCGCGAGATTAAATTTAGGGTGCCGCAAAAATATTTGAAATATATATTTATTTTTAAACGCCTTCATGAAAAATATAGCACTGTGTGTAATAAAACAGACTGTACTCCATGTCTATAGTATAAAACCTATTGTGTATAATTAATTAGGTATATACAATATAATTTAATGAATTAATTATTAACACATATAATTTTTACATAATAATATTGAGATGTTTAATCTACTTTAATTTTCATACTGGTACGATTGCTATCGATTTGATGTGAACTGTTTTAAAGTGATTTATGGTGATATACTTGTGACTTTATCTTATCTTTATTGTTTATTAATGCTAAATAAAACCGAAGTTACAAAATATAAATTTAAATATACGATATATTAGTATTTCGTATTCAGTATAAACTATAGAGTATAGGGCATAGGTTATTGGGTGCCTCCAAATTTTTAGAAAATAATAAAGGTACCGTGAGTCAAAAAAGGTTGGGAACCTCTGGCCTACGCCATGAAAACACCTTGGCTTCACCCTATAAATTAACATAGTTTTAGTACGCATTTATTCCAATAAAAATACCAAACCTTCAGCGCCAATTCAATCCGACATTTTCAGTACATTGAGTTACTGGATTATTCTTAGAGAGCACCGTAATATATTAATGTATTTTCGTTATTATTTACTGTGGTCTGTATCGAAACAGAGAAATCAATTAAACCATTCGCTTTTCTGCATCGAATTTGGATTTCAATAAGATTATTATAAACTCAATTGATTTAGTTATAAACTTGTACGGTTCTTGTCACTTTGAAAACACCTGTATAAATAGGTACGTCATGCTTCAATATGTAGTTAATCCAACGTGGTTTGTCTATCGTTTTTGTTTAAAGAACAAGTACTACAATCAAAAACTGAAAGCGCCAACTCGTTACAAACCTACGAAACAGCAATATATAATACAACCGCCCAACGTAGAGCGCACATTACCGAACCGAAGCGGAAGTACTCCCAGGGACGCGGTTTGGCAAAAAGTTCACTCGACAAAGTACATATTTACATCTATCTAAACCTATAAATTAAAATGCCTCAGTCTTAGACGGACACGGAATAGCATGAATCCATGTACACTACATCAATACGAAACCTGTTTCACCAGATTTTTTTTTAGCTTTTGAATTTTTATAATTATTATATTCATACGAATTGATTTAAATTTATTTTTGTTGCATAGGCCATGTACATTTATTATGCTATACAACGGAATGAATCGTAAGATAATGGTGACGGCATTATTTCATATTAGCAATAATGGTAGTATTTTTGCACTATTGTAGGTTTAAGGTCCATTCGTTTATTACTTGAAGTAATGCCTAACGGTGCTTTTTGGTGGCGGGTGTTTTGCCTGTTTAAAAAATAAGTACATTCGTATAGATAGTATGGTACATTGTTTGGGGGATGAGTATTTAATATGTTGTCCTAGGGTTCACAATGGTCCCAATACGAAATTGGTAAAATAACAATTAATACCTACAAGTTATACATGTATTAATATATAATATCAAGGACATTTTTGTAGAAAATTTTTTATGAATATAAGAAGTATAAATTCATTTTATATGTTCTAATCACGAAAATGTACCTGCAATTTCGGGAATTGAACCAATAAAGCTCCCTAAAGTACTGTCCCATTGGATTCCGTCTTAGACAGTTTTTACAATAGATATTTTTTATAATTACTAACATGAGTTTTGATCCGATGTATTAGGTACAAATTTTTCATTTATTCCGCGTACTTAGATACGAGGATCAAAGCCGTTGGCCCACTCGTACGAATAATTGGTGCTACCAAAACTCGAAAACCGGATACGGTTTGGTGCAGGTTGTGGTATTCGAATAGCTCAAAAACCGTTTCAGCATTCGTAAAAGCGATCCGTGAAAACTGGAATCTCAAGTACAGCGCAGTGTTCGTGTTATGCAAGTTACCATCCGACGGAAACAATCCGTTAAGCGTTTCGGTCGTGTCTCACATCAAAGATCCGATTGCCAACGAGGTATTCATTCAAAAACCGAAACCAATACATCAGTTGAAGATTGATATAGAAATTTGTATTAAACCGTTTCATTATTATTACGATCGGGTAATTTATTTGATATGATGTACCTATGATATATCAAAAATAATTGTCAATAATTGTTCCAGTAAAAAATGAATTATTATTTTATATTTTACAGGCAATACAACTTATGGAATTTGTAGAACTCAATTATTTACTTGGAATTGGACATTTTACTTTTTATAAAAACACAATAGGACCAAATGTTGAATGCGTTCTGGACCGTTATAAAAAAGATAATTTGGTTTCTGTTTTACCGTGGCAGTTAGACATGGTCTCCAAACAAGAAATAAGAACCGAGGGAATGTTTGCCGCCCTTAATGACTGTTTGTATAGAAATATGTACAGATCAAAATTTGTGGCGTTTTTAGATATCGATGAAATAATTGTTCCCAGACAAAATAACACATTAGTTCAATTAATCAAGTATGTTTGTTTTATCAAACATAATTTTTAATTTTAATGAATATTGATTTTATGCGGTTGTTTTTAGTTGGTTGAACATTTATCAAACGCCAGCTGCTTATTCATTTCGCAATGCATTCTTCTATATGCAATGGGCCGACGATGACACATTACCATTAGATCAGAATCCATTTCATTCAAATCTCGTTGTATTACGCAAAACACGGCGTAAGACAAAGTTACATCCACACAAACAACGTTCCAAGTACATTTGTGATCCGCGAAGAACTGTAGAAGTTGGAAATCATTTTATTTGGGAGTTTTTAAATCCTAATGATGGGACATTTTATTTTACACCAGAACGAGCAATATTACATCATTACAGGGTTTGTGAGTACGGAGGAAATGATTGTGTAACTGCAGATTCTACAGTGGATCGTACTGTGTACAAATACAGACAGAAATTGGTTGATAGAATAACAAATACCCTAGGTAATTTAGACACAAAATGTCTAATAGAAGCTCAAGCCAATACAAACGAAACACTGTACTTCTCAAATTAATTTCTTGATTTTATTTAAATTTTATAAGTGTGCTTCCAAAAATGTATTAAATGAAACTGTTTTAAACAGGGTGCTTTAAACCTTCAAAATATGTATAATATTATTTATAGTTTTGTGTGAATTATGTGTAATTTATGGACCAAGAGTTTAATAACTCTTGAAAGTATGAAATAGAAAAATCATTATACTATATACACTAATTTTTAAGAAATAAACTAAAATATTTGTATTCGATCAAATTATTTTTACAACACCAATAAAACACACAGCATTAAAAATTGAAATATAAACACACTAATTTAAGAACCGTACGGCTAATTAATGTATGAATACAATACATAAAATGGTTTACGTTTGATTTAAATATATATTTGTTCAAAAGAAGTAATTTTAATTAATTGTTCTAATTTTATCAATGAAATACAAACCAGTTTTAAACATGTTTAACAATTAAATTTATTACAAACTTAATGTATACAAAAGTATTTATATGAGTTTAAATATGCAATATTCATAAAATAATAACAAATGTATAGTTTATTATATATCTTCAATATTTTCCTTTAATGTAGAAATATCAATTACATCACAACCAATAAGTGGACTGCTCGTAGTACATTGGTTCATGTATACAGCTGTTTGCTTCAAGAGTTCTTCACTGAATTCTTCATTATTATTTCTGGCTAACAACACTCTATTGATGTCTTCAGTAATTTTTAATGATGTTAGTTGTTTGAAATTAGCCTTTAAAACATTTAATATTTCGTTTTTGACATCTGATGCACGGCAAACAAAGTTTAATAAAAACAATCCTTGTTCTCCAATTAAACATTTTACATTATTCAATACATCTTGTATCAGGAAAGCTTTAGGTGGCCCACTTAAGCCCAAGGTTGGATCTTTAACATCTACATCATATACCACAGCATCATACTTATCACCATTTTTGACAGCATTGGATAGATACTCGAGACCATCACAAATTTTTACTTCTAATCGACTGTCTTCAATTAATCCAAACGCTTCTTTGGCTATTTTGTATACAACTAAATCTATTTCTAAAGCAACAATACGTACATTTTTATAAGCATTTATCAATAAATTAGTAAGTACACCTCCACCCAAACCAATTAGAAGAATTCTAGGTTCTTCAATTGACTGGTTTGCTTTAATACCGATACCAAGACCTAAATATGGTATGTAGTCACTGAGAAAATGGGAATAGTCTATTTTGATATCATCATTTTCTTTCAATAATTTTGCTTCTGATTGTATAATGTGAGGCATGTTAAGGAACACTAATCGCCTAAAAGTTTCACCTTTTTGTCCTTCTACTTCTTCTATTACAAAGTTACCAGAGTGTTCACTCTTACTTTCCATAATGATCTTTCTTTCTCCGAGTTGTTGTTCTAATGATAAAAATAAGATAGTTTCTCCACGTTTCAATACACCTTGTGGGGCAATTTTTAACATAAGTCTTGACAGTTCCTGTTGTACTTGTTTTAAACTCTTGTAAACCTGCCCTCTATGCATACTAATAATAGCTAAACGATCAACATTACAATTTCGTCGTAATATATCTTGTCCTTCTTCACTGTTAAATAACCATTCATGTTCTCGACCATGAGGAACAATGAATGCAGCAAAGGTCATTTTATTTGGATTTCTTTGTGAAGGAGATTCCACTATCATAATTGTATATCGAGGAGTTTTTGTTTGAGTACAGTTAATTTCAAATCGATAACTATTTGACATATCTTCCATTTGACATTTGGTGAGATCAAAACACATTGAAACAGATTTCTGAGTACCAATTATTATTTCTAATAGATCAGATATGGAATCTAATCTTTCATTTGTAAGTCCATCTGGGTTCCATTCAATAACTGGTTTGGCTCCTGGTATTTTATTAACTTTAGTGCAGACAACCATAAATACTGGTTGGCCATTAAAATCTGCAGAATCTTCAACTTCTGTGCATTGACACACACGAATAATCCAACCGTTTTCACTAAAATAGGTAAATAAAAATTTGGCAATATGATACTGAAGAAGAGATATACAAATATAACGTCCACCAAATTTCAATATTCGTTTGATTTCATTGAACATTGACATTGCACGTGTAAGCGATTCCACTTCGCCATCTGGCATCAATGCATCCAATGTTCCTTTGTCAATAACAACACTGAACCTTTCATTTGGATATTCAGTATTCAAAATATCTTTAATTTCGTATACTAAACCAGGATATTTTTTTGTATGTTTTTTACTCATATTCGCTATAACAACTTCACTATTATCAACACTGGTCATATTGGAAAATCCATCACAGTACATATTTGCACTTAGATTTGAATTTCCACATCCCGACATTAATATAATATCTTTAGAACAGACATATTTAGTGAGTAAACGTTTCAAATTTTCATAATTACCATACCATTCAAATGCTGCCTCTCGTTTTGTAAAAAATGAGTCCCAATACTTGGTTGTACTGAAATCGCTGTTCTTCTCAGGTACCAAACTCATTTTTGTGGAGCCACGAATAAAACTAATTCTAAGTAGTAATGAATAAAGCTTCTAAACAATATTCACATAACTATAGTCTGCAATAGTAATATACCCCACAAGTACCAAAATATCTTTAATCAATAGGTAAATCATGGTGTGATGTGTGGTGTGATCAAATCAAGCAAGTGAGCGGCGAGATAACATTAATTGTTTCTTTGAATAAATGATAAGATAATTTTAAAATAATGACAGTGCAGCCCGATCACAATAATGGGTATAAAAATATACCTAATAACACGATAATTCTTATCGCATACAGCAATCGCTGTTTAACACACAGATATAGATAATAAACTCATTGTATACCACGATTGAAAGATATATAGGTATATTTTAATTTGTGCTACAGATTAAAGATGTACAAGATATATTAGATATATAAGTATATCTTAGTTCGTATTGCGTACTAAATAAGAGTCCAAACCACAGATATATAAAACAACTGAATAGCCGAGTTCCTATTCAACATTACGGGAGGATATGAATCATAGCCACCATATGTAAAGCTGTTAAAGTTTATAAATTTCGTAATGATAACCCACATTGACACGTAATATTTAAATAATAAATTAATAAATAACAATATTATATATATATGCGTGTTTAATATACTTTTATAAATATATTGGTAAACACAGGGACGACGCGAGGAGGTTGTCAATAGGGGCAGTTTCTCAGGTCCCCGCGCCTTAAATTATAATTAAGGCTCCGCGGTTCTGATTTAATTGAACTTAAAATATTTTATTAATATAAATTATAAGACTCAACATTTATTTTGCCCAGGGCCTCGCAAACTCTAGCACCATCACTGAGTAACAACATCTAATATGTGACACTGGGTGTATACGATGTATAATAATGCATGAATAATATAGTTTAACATTTTTTTTTTTTTTTTTTAATGTTTGAAATGAGTTATTAGAAATGTAAGAAATTTAGCAAACAATGAATATTTAAAATAATGAATCCTCGTCTTCCACTCCCTAGCTCCGCCCCTGCATAAGAGTTCAACCCTTTCGAAAAATCAGAAAAATATTATAAAAAAATGATCTGACCTACAAACTTAGTAATTTCAAATTTCCCCATGAGACTTGTAAATAATATATATATATATATAATGAGTAATAAATCATGATGTTTATCAACGTTTTACATTTGTTCAATATTTTGTGGACCCCGAAATGTTTTCCTCTGTTCATCCCTGAATAACACTATTAATACTAGAGGACCTAACATTTTGTATCATACTATTGAAATGTCCATAAAACATACCTCAGAACTGTAATTTAAAACATATTTTAAACCGAGATCATACCAATATATTCTCATTCAATACTATTCTGTCTTAAAAGTTAAATTAATGATACAATCGACCCAGAAAAATGTATTCAAATGTGTAATTAAATTGTACAATTATTACCAGGAAATTGAATTCAATTACAGCAACTTATAAAATAAATAATTATTCAATTCTCTTTTGGAAAATTAAACATGTTATTCATAACACATAATTCATACTATAACTATAAATACACTGAACATACATTACTTATATTATGCAACTCACTATTATATTGGACTGTTAAAAATTACTTAATAGTTCTATTATAATAATATTATATTATATTAATCTATAAGTTTTTAAATAATTTTTAATTTGATATATCGCCACATTGGACCTAGGTATAATAACAGATATTCATAACTGAAAAGCGAAAATAATTTAAATCAACTTCCATTAAATGCGACAGTATCAATGTACTCAATTATACCGTTTAAATAATTAAGAAACGATTCATTATGTTATAATATAGAAAAATATAAACTATCGAGTTTAGACTAGGTAGGTACCAATTATCAAATGTAAGGCAGGTAATACGAAAAAAAATATTTATAAATGGATAAAAATATGGTTTTTTTTTTTTTTTATTCATAAAAACAACAAGAATCTAAGGAGGAAACATTATTTACATAGAACGTCGGTAGAAAACAGGAACGTGGAATTTTAACAAAACGGGCGGGAGGCAAACGCGTGTTATGGTGTATGTTCCTCGTCGGTTCGTTCAAAATCATCGAGACAAAAGAACGGTCAACAAGAACGTCATTTCCGCGGACTGATGCGCGTGTGCGGGTTCAGATCATGGTCCGGGCGGTCGCGACGAGGAGCCCTAGAGCGGACACTATCATCGCGTTGGAAGACCACGAGCGGGGCGGCGGCGGCGCGCCGTTGCACAGGTCGCCGTGGCAAAAGCACATGAAAACCTTCTTGTACTCCCACACGGTGTCGCTGCACCGTTCCTCGCTGTCCGACGGTCCCCTCTGCAAGCACGTCCGCTGCGTGGCCGTGTCGAACTCCTGTTCCTTGGCGTCCGAGTTGCGCGTCTCGATGATCTTGCCGCACCATCCGGACGCGCACGGCACCGCCTCCACGCCGACGCCCGGCTCGGCGGCCATGTGCGTGAGGTTGGTGTACTTGAAGCGATCCTTGCAGCTGCCCAAGTCTCCGCGGGACCGGCAGCTGAAACAGCGTTTGACGACCGCGTCCGAGGGGTCGATCAGCGACCAGGACGCGAACAACAGCAGCAACAGCACCGCCGCCGGCGACGACTTGTTACCGTCCATGGTGCGGAAAGCGCTTCTCTCTTTTCGTCTCGTTCCACTCGAGCGCCAGTACGATATTACTGCCGTCTTGACGGACAACGACTTGACGAAGGACTCGCGCGCTGTTGTTGCGCACAATAATACTAGGATGTACGTACGTCTGTCCGGCCGTCAAGCGTTCAGCGGACTTTCACTATTACATCCCCTCCTCGCCCTCCCCTCTCTCATCTTACCCCGTTGATGGTCGACGCAACAGGTAAAATGTGTCGACCATGCACGCAGCACACCTCCACCTCCCCGTATGTATACGATGTGAGAACATCGCAACTCGACGTGACGTATGCAGTTGGTCGTTTACCGAACCGGGGAAACGATTTAATCGAGTAGTACTCGGGTTGAAATGAGCAAATGTATTATATTTTGTTGGGAGATATCGAACGTAATCGCGTTTTGAATACATTATATAATATTGGTATTGGTAGCAGTGAAAAACGAGAATAACATAAATACCGGGTTATACAGAGCGATCGATATTTTTTATACACGATCGAATAAATCCGTTCGCGGCCGTTCTCCAGACGCGTATGCGAAACGTAAAGTTTTGAGCACACAATTGCAGCCATTAATTTGTAAAATTTTGTAAATAAGTCATATTTGTAAAAAGTCATCCGTTTTCGTCACAATATTTACGGTATCAAATTCAAAACAACATTACTATTTGACACACTCTGTATACTACTGTATCTTGAAAAATGTCTGATACCGAAGCCCGGATACTACGAACCGTATATAACTATATAGTATTATTCCGATGCACAATGTGTACGTAACTGCATCGTCAGAACCCTTTGGTGCTCGCCGTTCGGTGTACGTTTGAATCATTTCCATAACAATAACAGATTGTCAGTGCTTTGTCTCGATTTGACTTGATTTCCAGCAATTTTATTTTTCGTCTGAAACGAAATTCTAACTCGCAAAATGTCATAAATGAGTATCTAGTAATATTTGTTTTTATTTTAAAGATGTTGAATTTTAATTTTACTTTTTGATCAGTTTTTACCGAATCATTAAACTAAAAAAATGAATGAAACCGATCACCAGAACGTAGGGCATTGCATTCGCTCTCCTAGACCACTTTCCGAAGTGTCTTACATACCACAAACACTACCTGCAGGCCTTGCTGCCCTTTACATGCTATGCAAAAGGATATACCCAGATCAGTGTAATCCGCTCCAAGCTACAACTGTACTTAAGTACTGGTAAGTTAATTATATTTGTATAAAATTATTATGATTGCATTATTGTGTTTTTGATATGGATAACATGTTTTATGCCTGTAAATTATTGTATTTTTTCCTAAATTTTTTTTTCACAATTTATTTTACAATATTAGTAATAAATATTTTAGAGTATATTAATAAATAACATATAATTGAAAGCAGTTTAAAAATTTAATTATTTTAATGATACAAAAAACCATTGGTTTCTCGATTCTGAATGAGGTAATAATTTTAAATGATCTTATTCAAATCATTGCTTAATAGTCATTTAGTATAACTAGCTGACCATTATAAAAATGAAATTATAATGCACATAATGCAAATCATAATGCATTATGATATGTGATATACATTTCTTTCAAGCTCTTAGTATACTGTTTTTGTTTTGTTAAATTAAATTGATGTACTATTATTATTATAATTAAATAGTTACTAAATATTTTAAAACTTTTTTGGTTAAAATTATTTTTTTATTTTAATTACTTTTATAAATACTGAACATGTTAAAATGTATCTGGCCTAGGAATGTGTAAAATGTTAATTAATGGTTCCTCTTTTATCATTTCCTGTCTGTATTTATTTTTGGTTGACACATGTGTTGTGTCTATTTTTAAATAAGGATATTAAAATACTGTAACTTAAGTAAAGGAATGGTATCCATACTAGCTAAGATCATTCATTAAACGTTTTAAACTGATAAAAAATGTATGGGTAATTCATTTTTAGATATTTTAAATAAGATTATTAAATAAAATAAAATTATGAACTGGTACTTAAAAATCATTTATCAAAAAGTACATTATATCCTTTAAAAATTGGTTGTTATCTGGTTTTTTTCTTTATATATATTTTTAAAAATTATTTTATGATTATTTAGTAAAAAGTAAGTTAATTGTTTATTATTGAATAATATGTAATAAAAATTGTCAAATGTTAACTAACTTGTCAAATATTACTGAAATAATAAAATCAACAGGCTATTTTATATAAACCTTATATTTGTTAATATTGATTAAAGTGTTTTTAGTTTTATAATACATTTATATTTAATTTATAGGCTTGGTGGTCCAGATCCATTAGATTATATAAGTATGTATAATAATCCAGGAGATCGAATGATTGGCATTCCACCGCATTGGCATTATATTAGGTAATTAAATTTACGTTTTTGTTGTATTCACATATGAGGTTTCTTAGATTTATGTGTAATATAAATTATGTACATTATTTAAGTAATACAAATCATATCATATTTGTTATGTAAAATATTAATAATCTAATGCATTTAATTAAGTATTTGTTAATTGAATTACTTAATGGAATTTTTAGTTTTGGCTTATCCGATTTACATGGTGATGGTCGTGTACATAATATTTCAAATGATCAAAATGGGCCAAGTGGATTTGGTTTTGAATTATCATTTCGTCTTCTTAAAGATCCTTCTGACCCATCACCTCCTACTTGGCCGGCTCGTGTTATGCAAACACTTGCTAAATATGTTTTTAAAACAGGTATAGTTTAATTATTGTAATTATTACTATTATATATTCCAAAAAACTCTGTTAGTGATGAATATTTTGTGATTAAAGGGAATACATTGTATGCTGGTGATCATGTATCTTGGCATTGTGGTTTAGATGGGAGTGAAAGTCGTTTACAACATATTTTAATGGCTGAAGATCCTCAGTTACAAGTAACTGTAACACCACATGGATTAGTAAGATTTGTTCAGATTGTTGGTGTGTGTTTAGAAGAATTACAAGCAGTTCAAAGATGGAATGGGCCAGGAGTTTTACAAATATTAAAAAGAAGTTCAGTGTAAGTTTATAATAATAATTATTATTAAATAATGTAATTATCAAATGATTATAATAATGTATTCAATTTTTAGTTTTAACTTTAATTATTTATTTAGTATTAAAATGTATTGAGTTAAAAATTTAATTTGATTATAGTATAACTTAAGGACAAAATAAAATAAAAATATGAACACAAATAACATCAATGAAGTATTAAAGAATTTTGTAATTAAAATTGAAAGAAAAAGCATATTTTAATTTTAAATAATATAGTGAGTTTCTCTTAATTTAATCACTGGTTTATAGAATCATTCATTTATTGGAATAAAAAATTAAAATTCCCAACCAAATCGTATGTTACTAATGTTAAATTGACCTTTTATTTTAATCACTATGAATCGGATAATTAAATCAATTATATGAACATTCTTACCATGTATTTCAAACTGATTAATTTATATTACCCATTTTATTTTTAAACTTATTAGTGTATTAGTGTATCCTTGTACATCATTGTTCTCGTGTTGTTCAGTTTAATTTTCTTAAATGTTGAACAAACAGAAATATTTTTCATTATAAGAAAATAATAAAAATTTACTCGTTTGGTATGATAAATTATTTAAATTATTTATATTAGAAGAATCTTAAGTGTAATCGAAAATAGATAGTTTTTTAAATTTATTTTTTATAAAAAAATTTTAAATTATTTTTTTATTCAGTTTTAGTTTTATTTTAAATAAACATGAAAATATAGAATCATTAAAAAAAGTATTTTATGGAATCGGCCAGTTAATGTGATCACTTTAAGTGGAATTCACTGTATTTGTTATTATTGCTATATAAACAATTATAAAATTTGGTTTATTGATGAAACAGAATTTTCAAGTACATTTTATTTTAATATTGTCATAATTTGATGGATAAATTATGAAATAAAAATGCATTTCATGAATTTTCTTTTTTGCTCATGTTATTCAAGTATCTATATTTGTATTATCTTATAATTTTTAATTGTAGTACTGGAGGTTCATGGCTAATAACAAATATGCGCAGAGGAGAAAGCATGTTTGATGTAGATCCATCTGTTCATGATGAAATAGCTGATGGTATTAAAACTGAAGGTTCAAATTTATGTGGTATTAGTGCAATTTGTTCATGGGAAGAAATCAATACAATAGGTTTGTAACGTGTATGCAATATATACACATTTAATTCAAAGTTAAAAAATTGTTGATTTTACTAAAATATTTTACTTTTAGGTGATGATTCAGTCGAACATTCTATGCAAAAATTACAAATTATTAATAATTCTAGAACTTCAAATGAGTAAATACCACTATTTATTTTTTAATTTTTTTTCCGAAAATACTAAGTTTTGATATTATTTTTAGCGATGCAAATGAAACTGATGGTGAATTATCAGAATTGACTCAAAAACAATTTTTAGAAAATATTCATTTGTCTTTTAATTTAGAAGCTGGACTTTTGCTACCTTTTGTATTGAAGTACAGTTTAATAATTTCTATATTTGCTGAAAATATTTACTTTTAAATATGATTTCAGAGGTCGCATTAGACATGGTCGTCATTTTACTTTCAAAGGGGCAACTGGTAATGCAACTATTACTTTTGTTGCACCGTCTGTAGCTGGAACCCTAGTCAGCGATGATAAACCATTTGTAGCTCAAGGATCTTGGTTGCATGTGTTATTACCAAATAGTTTCCTTGATATAATGGAATCTAGTTTAAAGTTCCTTCATGAGCCATTCACGGTAATTACATTTATCAATATATTTTATAATTTATCAATAATTAAGTAATTTTTCTTTGACTTTTTGTATAGGAGTCACTGCCAAAAACCATCAACTGGCCTGACAGAAATTTATCTATTACAATTAATCCTGAAAAATCATAATCTTTTTAAAATTATTTTATTCATTGCTCTTAGTTTTGTGATTCTTTTGTTTTCTTTTTTCCAAATACCTTGTAATATTAGTTCCTCTAATATTTATATCTTTGTTTCTCTTTATTAATTTAATGTGTATTATTATTATTTGTATTAATATTTTTTTTTCAATAATTATTCATTAATTTTGTGAACCTTTCATACAGTATTACAAAAATAGTGCGTTTAAAACATATCATAATTTTAATCTCAATTATTTTACTTATAAATACAATTTTTTAATGAGTGAATTTATAATTTTTAAAATTAATATATTTTCATTTACAAATACTTGTTGACGATTTATTTTGAAAAATTATTTACAATTTGTATACTTTATAATTTTCTATATTTACTAACAAATCAAATATTGATCTACATGTAGCCTGTTAAAAATTAACTGTTATTAATTCATTAATGGACTTGTTGATTTTTAAAAATGGTCATAATATTAAAAATATTATAATTTTATGTACTTAAAGTATTATAAGAAATATAATTTGTCAATAGGTAAAAAATAAATATAGATTTGGTTTTTTTTTCTGTGGTGTAATAATAATATTATTATTAATTAGTAATTACTATTAGATCTTTAATCCATACAAATTTATATTAAAACTTTTGGATTCAAAATAAGAAGAATATGATTATTTATTCTTCTTATCTCATTTATGGGCTTTAAAGAAGAAAAAAATTTCCCTGTTGCTAGGTAAGAAATTGCATAATGATGGTACTTAAAAAAGGCTTTTGTTTTATTTTTTTCATATATTTTTTCAAATGTAAGGAAAAATAAAAAATAAAATTATAAATAATTATTAAACTTTATCTTGTAGCCATTTTATTAACTTAGTAAATTTTGTATTTCATGGTTAAAAATGATACGCAAGACTAATAATAAAAGCTATTTTACTTTGTGTAGAAAAAACAAAAGATAAAATTATGCTGATTCTTTTATCACCTTCTTCGGAAAAAGTATTTATAAAATAAAAAATTTGACTTTTTTAATATACTTAAGGACGTAAGTATGTCTAATATCCGGTATAAAAAGTAGTGTCTTCATTCAATTTTTTAGAGTAGGGCTGTAAGTATGCTCTAATTAGATTGCCGACTTATTAGCTCATTTTACCAAAGTGCCGATTAACGGTGGAGGGCGGACGTCAAACCAGTCCAAAAATAAAATAATTTATACTTTGTACATCTATATTCGTATAGAACACGTCTCATTTTTCTGATTTATTACATGTCTTTATAAAAAAACGTATTTCTATTTTGAAGATGTGCCGACTTTGGAACAGTAAACTCTAGATTCTAGAATGTGCCAAATGCATGAGTTTCCCCCCTCCCCCTTCAAATGATACAACTGATGAAGTTTAGAACTCAAATATTTTGATTAAAGATATTGATGAGTTCAATAATAACTATGATAATGTAATCTAAATGTTTAGACTTTAAAGTATAAATCTAAATTTTGTTGACAAGTTGTCATAAAAATGTTTATTTTATAATCTGACATAGAAAACTGATTTTTTTCGACCCATCCCGGTTCAGGAAGTAAAGCTTATTATTATTATTTTTTTTTGATTTTGTAATTTGTAAAACAATTATGGTCAAACGTAAATTTAGGAACACAAAGAATACATATATATATATATATATATATATATATATATATATATTAAGCGGACTCGAAGTATAAAAACAATAATAAAATTAAATATTTCGAATACTTCAATATATTTATTTTTTATAAACCTGTCCAAAATAACTAAATTTTTGAGTTATTAATAATATAAATAAAATAATAGTTTAATTCTGAAAATTCCTCACGTGATCAGCCTATCGCTTATAATCTGAGTCTGAACAGTTTCCTTTACGGGAAACTTTCTTATAATTCATAGGTGCTTATCTATACAGTTACTTTCTAACTTTTCTGTAAATTGAAATCGTAAAAACCTAAATGTTAATTACCTACATAAGTGATGACTGATCAACAGTCACTTCAACAGAAATTCAACTAATTCAACATTCAACAGAACAGTTTTAAAAGTTTTAAAATTAAACTTATGTCTTCATAAATAATCTATTGTTAAATAAATATTATTGTTTATAGTTCAAAGAATATTATTTGGTTATCTTATTTCAAGACTGCTGAATATAAATAAATGATGATTAGCGATAATTATTGATTGAAAAAAACATAAAAATCCACATAATATTAAATTTCATTTTAATAATTATCTACTGCTATATATTTGTTTAATTTACGGATTAGTTGACCAGAATCATCACATATATAGTAAGAAAACGTATTGAACAGTATAATAATAGTTACCTATCCTATATTCTTTGTATAGTTAAAAACAAATAGGAATTTAAGTTAAGCTACTATTTTTTATTCCATTCCGAATCCTTCACTATTTAGTATTGCCGTCACTAATTTTTCTTTAAGCTGATAATGATCTGAATATTGTGGCAATACTAATTGATTAAAACAAGTATGTGCTTCGGGCAAATAATCAGATCTCTTCGGACCTCTGGTTATTTTGAAATTCATATCTCCCATACCACCAACTGGTACACGATCGCTTCCGGTTACGAAAAGTAAGAATTTACGTTTTTGATCATCCGATAATGATTCAACGACATTCCAAAATTGACTGTAAATAGAATATAGGTATATGACACAGATATGTTTAAGTAAATCTGTTTAAGAAAAAATCTTTGAATAATCAACATTGCTCGTACCAAATAATGCTGTCATCGAATCGATAACCATCGTACTCTGTAGCCTTACGGAGTTCGTGTAAATCTAATGTTTCAGTACCACAGACTAATAACTCAACTTCTTCAGGTCTTAGCATCTGATTATAACAAATGTATTTATTAAAATTATCACATTTTAAGAGAAACTAATTTAACTAATTTTTAATAATTTTGGTCGATTAAGTAAATATTGTGATAGAGAAACTTACAATTAATGCGTTCGAGGCGCATACACTGTGAAATCCGAAGTAAAACGCACGAAATTGTTCATAAATAGCTAAATTAAGTACCCAGTTCAAATACAAGTTTACATATTCCTGACGATTTTCATTTGTAACTGATATATTTTCTCCATTAGGTTTTAACTTGTAAGTTTTTGGTGTTACGTGTTCTTCTAGTGAAACCTAAATTAAAACATATACAATTAATACATAGTCTATAAACAATAATGACAAGAACTATTATTCTGTGTTCATACTTCATTAATTTAATTGATTTATGATCAATAGAGTGATCTATTTAATGCGATATACTAATAATTTCGGTGTGAAAATTAACGGTACTATTCTATTTTTAATATTTTAAATACTGAGAGACTAAACGTTGTACGAGTATAACGTAAAATATTGTGACAGAACTAATTTTTTACTCCTATGAGTTTTCTATTTTATATATTATTATAATTGATTTATAGTATATATTTTATATTCAAATTTCGAATGAAAATATAGATTATACCACAATATACAAATTAAAACCAATTGTTTTCTAATGATTAATACATTTCAACATAACAAGAATTTATTGAATGAAATTAAGGGATAGGTAAGTATTTTGAAAATTAACAATGAAATCATAATAAATATACAGGTATTTAATACAAAATATGATGTAATTAAAAATAAATGTTTAGTTCTTTTTTCATTTAATTCGACTTATGCATACAAAATAGACTTATTCAAGTACAAAGTAAATTATAGTATACGTAATGTGTACTGTATTTCATACCTGTAGTTTTGTATTATACTTGACTTGCTTAAAAAAAGGTCTTCATTTACAATAATAATAACCATTATGTACAATATACTATAAATTAATTAATGATTAACTACCTGAAATGTAAGTCCCATATCTTCTTCGACATTTCCTTCGTATTCTAAAAGATGCTTTAAGCCATTAGCTACATCCTAAAACAACAGACTAGAGTCTAAACAAAAATCGCAAACATTGTTTTTACAAAATTTAGGTTTTTTTTTAATGGCATGCTCCAAGGCTATAAACGTAAGCTCAATAAGTTTACTAACCGGCATAATTTCGTTCAAGTCATCTAACGTTGGGTTTTCGACAACGCCTACATTGATGTCATTGTCTGCAGGTACCACCGGTGGCGATAATAATTTCCTGTAACAAATTCCTGGAAAACTTAAATCCAGTATAATGGAATTATACACAGCCAAGCCCATCAGTACACCGATTAGATTGTATTCTCGAAGGTTTTTGTTATCTGTTTGTCCAGTGCTGAACCAATAGCACCGCGAATGTGAATAGTACACAAACATTCCGTAATTGGCATGAAATATTTCACGAATTAATAGTAAAAACCATTCCTTTGTTAAACCACCCATGTCGAGTCCGGGTTCTCCAGCGAAAGTAACTTTTAACTTTTTCTTCAAATCTTTTTGCTTGAAAGCAATCTGAAAACACGCATTCTATTCGTGTAATAACAAAATAATTTAAACCTATGTTTATATATATATATATATTACTCAATAATCTATAAATTTAGAGTAGTCGATTCAATAGTTCGAAATGATAAGCCAAAATCTATTAAGTCAAGTAATTTTAATTAAAAATTGTATCTAATTTAATTTGAGTATGCATGTATTATACAATATTCTTTCCAATCGATATAAACATATATGTAACGAAAACAAATTTAATTTAAAAATTAGGTATTAATAATTTATAAAATTAAAATCATTGGAAAAACATGATATTAATCAGATATTTATCAAGAGATATTTTTTTACAATTTATTTAAATTTATTATAACGTTTGAACATTAAATTATAAAAACTCTATTATCACCTTTATCTTAACAAGTGAACATTCTTAAACAATTTATAGTTTCCGGTAATTATAAATGTATTTGATAAATTTAATTTAATTATTTATACATAAAAAAAATTAACTTCAAAAATAACAAGTTACTAATATAATATATTAACTAAAAGATACATAAAGTAAATTTAAATAATTTACATTTATTAATTATTAGAATTTTTAGTCAAGTAATCGTAATATTTATAAATAGTCTTAGGTATTTTTCTTTTTGTCTATATGGAAGCGATAAAATTGTCTAACGAGTAGTTACATATTTTAAGTTATAAGTAGCACATAATATGATCATTTTAATACAATCATAAAGAGTTTTAATTTTTAACTCATTTGTAAGTTATCAAGTTTTGACTTATTTTCATACTGTGTTTATTAATTATTATAAATTAACAACTATAAAATTAAATAATTTATATCAATTGGAAAAAATTATAAAACAAAATATTATAATTAAAATGAAAAGCAAAGTTGTGTGTAAGAATCAATTTGTTTTGCAAGGAAACAATATTTGTTTTTTCCTGGCTCTATGCCTAAATGCGGATGTACGTCGGAAATAGAAACTTAAACAATTATAAATGAAAGGTAGACGAAACAAAAATAATAATTGATAAATAGAAATAAATATACTATATAGGTCATCTTAATACACCTTATAGTTTTAAATAATCCTTATATTTTCTTTAAGAAAACAAAACCGAAGTGTTGAATAATAATATACACTTAATAAGTATAATTTATTAAAACAACTAAAAAGTATCTTCGAAATAAAATACTAATTTTGAATCATTGAAAAATAATTTCACACCTTTTCAAATACATTTGTGTATAATTTATATTTTTATGTATAAAATTGTATTCAAATATGTAAATAACTGTTTACTGAGCCACGTTGTATTGAGATGAAAAGTTACGATTTGAGGCAATGAAAGTACAGTATTCAAGATTTAACATTATAAATATTGTTTTCTTACTTCATTTAATGAGTCTTGTACCAAATGTGACCGTCTGACGTTTATATTAAAAAAGAATATATCGATATTAGGTGTCTGTCTTCTTGCAACTTTCGATACTAATGATTTTCTAGCATTTAATATCATTTGCTGTTCTGAGTCTTTAGTAAGTATGATTCTCTTTGCAACAATGCTCAAAATGAATGGATATTGACAATAAGAAAAACACTCGTATGGTTCAAAACTTTGCCAATTATAGTAATCACGCATTAAGTCAATGTGATCCAATGCAGAATTATACAGTTCAGTAAAATGTAGCATTTCGGGTCCTAGATTATTGGCAGCATCTGAAATGAATATACTACAAGAAACTATGAAATATATAATTTATATTTTTCAGTTTTGATATTAATAATGTTTATTAATTGATTAATAACAATAATATACTACATTAAAAAGAATTAAAATTATAATGAAACATAATTTATAATCGTTTTGACGTACCTATACAAAAAACAAGGAACATTTTTTTTTTTAAATGTGAACACTAATAAATAATCAATAGTTTGCAAATATAGTAATGATGTACTTTCAAAATGTTTTTACAAATATAAATAAATTAATTTAAAAAAAATGTACCTATACAAATATTGGTATGCCTAGTTCATGAAAATATTAATAATTGAGAGTGTTATTGATATTTTTTTTGTTATTTCTATTATTCGGAATTGTGATATAGGTATAATTTATTAAAAAGAAAAAAATATGTTATGTTTGACATTTAAATAAAATACAAAAATAATACCTAGATCTGAATTAAAATACGATCACTAATTAATAGTAATAACTCATTACTAATGAGTATCAAATTACATTTTGTAATGAATGTGAAAATCATGACTACGAATACGGATGTATTGTCAATACTTTTTGGTGGACTGTATTTTTTCAAAATTATTGTTTATCTAGAGTTTTAATTATTTTCTGTTATTAGATTATAGGTAAACTTACTAATTAATGCTAAATTTTTTGTCGCTGATGGAATCCACCAAAGTGTCTTTGCTAAAGGCGGTAAAGATTTGTCATTTGGAGAAAATTGTCGTGAAGTTATAAATTGCATAATACATCTTATAAATGACCTTAATCTATCCAATTCCAATCTTCAACACAAAATTATAATAATTTTATTATCATAAAATAATGGTAGTAGCATAAATAATAAGAAAAAAGTCGATATGACACTGGTTCTATGTTTTTTCATAATAGGAATATTTTATTTTTAAATCTAATAATAAATCATTAAATTCCAATTACTATTCTGATTGAAATTTGGCACATATTTTTTTACAGTTGAGTATAATCTAAAAAAATTATAGTTTGGGTATTAAAAACCATGGTAAAAATGGATACCACTTAATTTTCTGAATTTTTAATATTAGGTTTATAACTTAAAGGTGTTCGGTAGGTATTTAGAGTACATTTCATAAGCTATTAATTATATAGTTTTAAAAATAGAAATAAAAACGATTTCGAGATGAAATTTAATATTATGTTCATTATGTTTTTTTTCAGTTTTTCCGTACGTTTAAGAAACTTATAAAACATTGAAAAATAGGCTGGTTAAAATTTTCGTTACCGTCTAATTTACGTTTTATAAAGTAATTGCAGGATATTTTTTGTGAAAATTTAGTATCCCAAAAAGTGTTTACTGAAAAATTAAACATTATTAAAAAACCAATAAATTTTTAGCTTTTTTTCTGAAAACATAAAATCTTATAGATTTAATTATACAAAAATATATATATTCGTATATATGTACTGACCGATTAATAGCTGTTATTTTTTACAATCATTTATTAAACTATAAATTGTATTTAATTTTTTCGATAACAATAAATATATAAATAGTAAATAGGTAGTATCCATAAAAATATTCAACAGTGTATATACTAGAATAATTTTGTCCACTTGAATCTATTGCATAATATTGACTGTTGACTATTGCTGACAATGCATTTTAGTTTTTGACCGAATAGCTACTTATATCCCAACGAGACTATTCGTTTTACCAGTAACTTCTAATACAGTTCATCCGTCGAATAAAATTTGTCGAAAGTGTTATCATGAAGTTATTACTGATTTTAGTTTTAGTTTGTGCAATGGCTATTGCCAAACCATTGGACGGGACCGAAAAACCAGAAAAATCAGCTACAACACTCAAAACCAAAAATGAAAAAAATGAAACAGCATTAAACAACAACCATAGAGTACAACGTGATGATCAAATGTCTTCTGAAGCAGGCGAGAAAGAACCAAAAACCTATCTTAACCCTGAGGATGATAAATCTAGGTAATTAATCCAAAATGTTTATAAATTAAATGTTAGTTAATATAAAAATAATTAGGATTAATCAGTTTTCGTATAATTTTTTTATTATGATAATTTAAACAAATTAAAAGTTCTTATTCTTCTATATTTTTATATTTTTTCATTACACAATAAGCTATAAAAAAACTCAGTACAATAAAATATTAATTTGAAATTTATATTAAATTATTATGTAGGTTATAGTGGTCATAACATTAGTTATAAATAGTACTTCTTTTAATCAACTTCACACATAGCATTACACTTTTAATTAAACTCTTCAAAAAACTTCCAACAATGTTAAAATAGACTTGTTGGAATTTGTTGGACTATTCATTTTTTTTTTTTTTAAAAAAATTTTTGGTACTATAAAAAGTAAAGTACATTTGTACTTATGTATTATTCATCTAGTAGATATTTGAACAAATTAAAATTATATAATAATAATTATTATGTTTTAAAACACTGCTGTGTGCTGTGGTTAGTATGCATTCTTATTTTTCAATGTAAAACAATGAAGAACAAAAAACTAGTGAAATAATATGTAGTTAATGCTTTAAAAAGCTCATTTCTCGATTTTTTTCTCAAATAATTTATGTGCAGTGGTAAACTTACCAGTAAATAGAATACAAATTTTTTTTAATAATAATAATAATAATAATAAATATCGACTGTAATATTTTGACATATATTGGACAGTCCCGGACTGGCTAAAAAAATTTTTTAAAATAAAAAATAATGTGTGGTACAACAAATATCCAACAATGTCCAACAAGTCTATTTAAACATTGTTGGGGGGTTTTTGAAAAGTTTTGCTAACATTGTAATGTTAACTTCACGGAAGCCCTCAAACCCCCTCCCCACCATAAATAATCTGAACCTACGATCTTGTATGATATATTCATTATTCTTTTTTAATGTATTTTAATATACATAATTTGATAATGTATTACACTTATTCCTTTAATGAGTTAATTAACGATTTAACTCAGTTTTTTTTTTATACTAATAAAAAAATCAAAATTCATTGTAAAAACATTATTAAATTTCGTGAGTTAAGTCACATATTTATTTTAATAAATTAAGTAGTTTTCTATATAATAGCTTGGAAATGTAAAGCAAGGTTTATTATAAACTATTTAACTGAACACCAAAATATTAAGAAGTTCGTCCTTGATTTAATTTTATTTACTTCCAAAATTTTAACAAAGTACATTATGATAATAATTATTTTTATTGAACTTAAAGCATGGTTTTTATTAAATAGTTTTCAATAAAATACATTTAAATAGTTAAATTTTTTATTAATTTTTTTATTATCGGTACAAATATAACATTTTTGTAACATTTGTGTTACAATTATACCAAGTTGAAAATTCTATACATATTTTATACTGTATTTTCTCTTTATTTTTATGAGCTATGAATCATTTTTATACTTAATTTCTTATTTTGATTTTTATATTTTTTAGAAGTTCGTACGATTCTATTGACCAGAACAATAACCCATCTATGTACTCATCTGTATTAACTAGTGCTCAAAATATCGAATCAAATTATCCAGAAAGATCGATTGTTCCAGCATATCCAACGGTATCATATCCATACGGGCCAAATGGAATAGGATCCGAGTCGAATGGTTGGTTAAAATCACCAAAATTAATTTCTTCTTCGTATCCATCTGGATCTTATGGATTAGGATCTGGATCATACGGATATGCAGGATCATTTGGAGGAATACCAGGATCATATAGATTATCAAAACCAAATGGACGTTCAATATTATATGGGTCATCAGGATCAAATGGATATTTAGGACCATATGGATCATCGGTATCCAATGGATATTTGGGATCATATGAGTCGTCAGGATCTGCTGGATCATATGGGTTATCAGGATCTTTAGGATCATATGGTTCTGTTCTGCCCTCAGCAGTTATTCCAACATCGTATTCTAGTTCCATTCCTTGTAAAAATGGAGTTAACATTGCTCAACAAATAATTCACAAGCCTGTTGTTACAGAATTGCAAGAAGTCATTCACAAACCTATAATTTCAGAATTACAAGAAATTGTGAACAAACCTGTTATCTCAGAAATTCAACAAGTTATACACAAACCACTTTATACGGAACATATTGGTTTCGGTCCATCTTACCAAGGATATCAAAAACATATTGTTAAACAACCCATTTACCAAAAGCCCACTAGACATTTTGTGCATCAACCAATGTCTCAAGGGGGAACAATTAATTTAGCTGATGAATATGAGCACGCTATCAATACTGCTCATAACATGTATGGATTCGAAACAAGTTCTCCATGTGGATATTCAGGCACATCTTACATGCAACCAATGGGAATCGGTATGCAATCAAATACACAGTATGGATCAACGATTTCTATGCCTAGTATAACATCTTACGAACCTGTGTATTCGTCAGGTGTAACTAATGAAATTTCAAACAATTTTGCTCCTTCGATCCACTCTTCGGCTCTATGTCGTTATGCTTCGAATCCGTCTTCTCAAACTACATATAGATACGCTGCTCCAGCACCAATTGATTTCTCTACTCCAACTTCATCAGCCTTATCATTACCATCCAATGGATATGCCTCTGAACCAAGTAGTGGTAAATCATTTGAGCAAAGAACTATTATTTTAAATGGTAATGAAGAATCATCAAACCAAAATGTAGAAGAAAAATTGCAACCAAAAGATGCAGAAAAAATTGTTTATGATAAATTTATACCCTATAAACAACCATCAAATGTTAACCCATTTCAACAACAACTCTCAGAATCACAACAATTAGGAAGAAGCAGCATTGAAGATACCAAAAACATTAAAATGAATGTAGACGCTATCGCTAAGCAAATAGAAAAGAACCCGGAAATGAGAAAACAATTATTAAAAATAATAACAGAAAATATTTATGTCGGTGACAAAATTACACAAACTGATAAAAAACAAGATAAAACCATTCAATAAAATACATTATGGCTGATTTCTTTAAAAACCTATATCGTAGTTTGTTTAACTGTGTTCAAATGAATAAATTATCTGTATTTTAATATTATTTTTTGAATTATAGAATTTAAACTTGTATACTTACATCCTAAACCAATTTACTAATAGCTGATGATCATCTTTGCTTAAATGTGCAATATAATTTAATAAATGCGCAAATATTGGTGCACTTGATTGAGTTCCGAAAACTGGACATTGAATGAGAATAAATAATGCTCTGACTTCATCTTTCTCATATAGGCTGAATAAAATAAACATTTTATTTAATATTGCATCAAAATTAGACTTTGTATATTAAATAATGTAAGCATGCTATTTGTTATTTTTCCCTTGCTTTAAATGTTACCAGATAATTTGTACGTTTACACCTTACTGGGGGAAATTAATTTAAACCACCCATATATTCCGAAAAAATTGTTCTAGGTTCGCTCGACTTACATTATAACTGCCTTAACATTAAAACGTTGATTATGTATCACTAAATAAGTGCATAAATCTACTGATTTCCTACTAAATTTTAATTTATTTAACCAAAATGCAATTAAAAATGTTTTATTGGGTCAGCGCTCCGATAGAATATGCCTACAAGTCACTTCTATATTTACATAGTTACATGGGCAAATAGCAAAAATACTTACACAAAATGGTTATAAATTAATTTTAGGTTTTTTGTTTTTATCCATTAAAGTCATTAATACCATTTTTTGTGAATGTATTTTTTCTATGTATCCCAATGTATACAACTATAAATAAAAAAAAAATATAACATATATGTCAACGCTTCACTGGTATCATATAAAGCAAATAAAATGTAAATAATAAAAATTAAGTTATTCTATATTTTTAATTCAAATAGAATTTAAAGTAACAAAGAAAACTCTCACTTTTTCTTATTTTCCAATAATGCATTTATTGTTGACTTTAAAACTATTTTTTGTACTCCACTAGGCTATAATAAATAAACTATGCGTTAAAAATACATATTAAAAATTTCATATGTTACTAGCAAAATAATTAATAATTTATACATTATGCTTTAATAATATTTAGTCATAATACATAAAATTCATTATTTAATTTTTTTATAAAGATAAAACCAATAAACTATTCCTTTAAAACTTATCAGTTTTTTATTGCTGATAATGGTTTATATAAAATAGTAAAATAAATAATAGATCAATAGTATTTTTAAATGTATCCATTTTACTCCATGAATAAAATAAACGTAGCTAAAACAAAATAACAACTGTTGAATGGATTGGCAACTTACCAATACGTGAAAATAAATTATTAAGAAAAAGCAATTAAGAAACATCAAACCAATCAAGGAGATAATAAAAAAGATGGTATTACTATAATCTATGTATTAAATGAACAATATTAAGTCCAGAGGTTGTGAACCTGCGGCTCCAATTGTTTACCTGTGCATTTTTTATGATTCTATTTATATTCAATAAAATAATAAATTTAAAATTATTTATTGTTAGCAAATATATATAATTTCTAGATAATTATGAAAAATACTTAATTAATTCACTTTGCGAGTAACATATATTTAAATGTTTTACATATATAACTAAATATTAATGATTTTGATTAGATATTATACTAAATCTTTGAGGGCGTCATTTACAGCGTAGATAAATTCTAAATTAAGATCAGGATCTTCCAGTTTAGCTCCAGATTGGCTTGGATTAATCTATAACCCACAGGTAAATACAGTTAAAATAAATAATTTTTTTCTGAAATCTAAAAATAAAAATATGAAATACCTTAAACAGAGCACAAATCTCGCTAAATGACTCAAACAATCTCATATAAAAACGCTGAATGATAATATAATTTTCATTTTTATGGGCTTTTCGTATCTCTTGTCTGTAAATGAAAATATTTATTTATTTAAGTATTTAAATATTGGCATTAGGATATACGGTATACTCAGTGGCGGTCAAACAAGGGGGATGAGGGGGATAGATCCCCCCACGACCTTTTTTTAAATATTTATATCTCATCCATATTATACATAAGATAATATAGGTATTCATCTATTTTCTATTTAAAATAATAAATATACTATACTTATTAGTTATTATACAGTCTCTAGGCAGGAATAAAATTACCTAATTGAAACAAACTTTTTAAGTTTTTTTCAGTTCTTTTATAGTTAAATTATAAGAATGTATGAAATTTAAATTTAGTACTTAATGCTTAACATAATATATTATATTATTATATGAATTGTGTAATTATATTATTTTAGAGTCGTCTCAATGGTTTAGCCACTATGACTATTCATCGTGGGGTTGTCAATATAACTGCAGACGAAGTACTGGACGAATTGGCGAAAAATACCAGAAAAAATAGATTTAATAATATAAATATCATTAATATTATATAATTTTCATGTTTAAAAATAAAGATTTTTATATATAGTGTTTGTTAAAAAATCAGCTATGACCCCTCCCATGACAAAATAATTTAACCGCCACTGGGTATAATTTAGCTGCACTTTACCAGTAACAGGTTTTTCTTAAGCCTAGTTTACACTATTTTACTAATTTAGTCAAGTAGCGAGTGATTTAGTAACTAAATGTGTATGAGCATACCGATTTAGTTTTGTATTTTAGTAAAGTAATTTAGTTACTTAGTAATTTAGTACATCCAATATAGAAATATTACTATACTTCAAGTAGCATCCTCCCCACTTTTCTGACTAATAACTAACTAGATGATCTGGATGCGTTATGTATTTTAGTTTAGTGTATTAATTGTTTTTGTTCTGATTCCTAATAAATATATAACTTCTTATGATCCATTTTCTAACTCATATCACTTTGACTCTTCGAGTTCTTCTAATTTTTCTAAAATAGCCGTTGCAATATAATGCAATTATTCGGTTAATGACAAAAGAAACGGGTATAATTAAGTAGATGCAAATCCGAACAACCTAGTACAATTTTTAAAAATTACTAATAAACAAAAATTAAATGGCAGATACAAACGGATAGTGATTAAGTTATATTATTTTTATTGCCGAAATATCATTGACTCTTTTATCTAATAATTTTTAATCTAGTTAAAAAAAATAAAAAATAAAAATGGAAACAAACAATATTTTTATTATATTATTAAAAATTAAAATAAATCATTTTTGTTAGAAAAAAGAAAGCTGTATGTAATCTTTAAACAATAAAAATAGGAAAAAATGTAAATGTTTAACACTCACTAATTATATGAAACTATAGACTATGATTATATTTTGTTTTCTTCATTGTTATTATAGGATTTACTAGTATATAAACATGAATAACATATATTTAAAGATTTTCTTATAAAATATAATAAAATATACCAACAATATAGTGGCGTAGCTATCGTGGGGGTTTAGTAGTCCATGTCCCACCCCCCACCCCCCATTGGCCGTATCAACGTTTTTGCATAATTATTTTATTCTTTATTTTATGACGTTTGAAAAATTTGTTGAATTCGCTTTATTTCTTAATTCTTATCAATTTTCTTAATAGTAATTTTATTTTAAATAAATCCGAAAAAATCACAAAAGAAGAAATAATCCAAGTATTTTCTTCAAAATCTCTTCTACGTCTCTTATTTTTAGATTGGTCAAAATTAAATTAATAAATATAAATTTAATCAATAAAACAAAATACGTTCAACTTAATATAAAAATTAACTTTTATTGTCAATTGTTGATTATGTTTTTTTTAGTATTTCGGGTTTGGCCCTCCTCCCATTTTAAAATCCTGCTACAATTTCATAAGCGAATCGAGGTAAATTATCAAGTGTTAAGGGTATGGTAAATTAAAATGATGTAAAATATGAGGTGAAATATTCGCGTCCTACGATCACCTCTTGTAAACCCTATAGTTTACTAGTGGAATCTATACACCCACTGATGCTGCAGTCTTGGTATAGTCATATGGATTTATAGCGTCAGACATTATGGCTTTATATATACATGTAGATATGTTCGTACTTAACATTAACAAATAATAGGACCTACATATATAAATATAATCAGCCTTCAGCACCCAAGCCCCAAATAGCTTAATCGAATAATACTTACAAAAATTCTTCTCTTGTTTCATGTCTAATTGGATATTTAGGTTTTGACTCTATTTGAAGATTTATTTTAATGTTTCTACAACTCTGGTCAATCGGATCTTGACTGTTGATAGAAGTTATAGTTGGTCTATATGTAAGAAATTGATTAGATTTTTCCTGAAAATAAATAATAAATATTTTATTTTGTATAAACCTCACTTAGTATCAATATTTTTTTAATAATTATAATAAAATAAAATCATGAAGATTTGGATCCACTTCTCTAAGTTGATGAACAAAAATAGATATAACTTGTTGGAGTTTAGTTTTACGATAAATTTAAATATTATAGTTTAGAAGCTGAAAAAGTACAGTAGAGTTAACTTATAATGATCTTCAGGGGACCTAAAGAGTCAGATCGTTACATCCGAAATTCGTTGTATACGGATGACGAAAACATTACCTACGTGAGATATAAAACCAACCAAATACACGGCTAGGAATCGTTTTATCCAGAATATCGTTATATATGGCATCGTAATAAGCGGATTCTACTGTATTTGGACAAACTGCATTTTTTCCCTAAGAGAGAAGAAATAGAATAATTTATAAAATATCAATAGGTACATTGTTTAAATAATATATAAAAAGTTAAATATTGTTATTTTTATAAATTATTTATAAATTATTACAAAAAATAAAGAAGGTAAAACAATTTTTATTCAGGTTATTGAAAAATTATAAAGTTATAATTAAACAGGCCTGGCTCAAGGGATAGTCGACATAGGCCCATATCTAGTGCGACATTTAACATTTTTATACAATAGATATTTTTGGAAAAAAAAAGGTTTACACTTCCTAATGCCTACTCATATAAAATCATGTGTAGTTAAAAATAAATTTCTATAAATTGTTATGTTTATTTAAATTAGTAGGGGTTTACTTGTCTACAAATTTATTGATCTAATCAAATGTTAACTTTACACTTTACATAAATCAATATAATGAATTCAGAGTTAAGTCTATTTTATTATTGCATTTGTAAAAAACAAACATTTGATGTAGAATTTACATGTAAGGGGCAGCAAAACTTAAGTTTGCCTAGATATGATTAAATATTTAAACCGGGCGTGTAACTAGGTGGGTAATATCGTTTAAATAAATATAAAAAATATTACACTGAATATTATTAAAAATATGTTTGTGAGAAAAGGCAAATCAATGAGCTTTTTTACAAATAAAATGAATAAATTTAATATTATTCATCCTTATATATACTACACCAATGTTGTATTTCCAGTGGCGTAGGTAAAGAGGAGGTTTGGAGGTTCAACATTGCTAAAATTCCAGTTAATAAATAAATAGGTAATAATAAAAATAGTAATTATTAAAATATGTCAAACCCCATATAAACAAGCTTTACCTTATATGAAAAATCAAAATGTTATTTAATTAAGTACTATCTACAAATTATTACATATTTATACACTTTTTTATATATCTGTTTAATAAACATATTGTTTATTTTTATTAAAAAGTAAAATATCTATGTGAGTATAATAATTAATAAATAAAGTCTTTGTAATCAGAGAGCATAATATTTAGAAACATTAATATAGTTTTACATATAGTTAAAATAATAATGAAAACTTACAATTGGTGGTAACCTCGAATAACTAGATACTGTGGGATCACTACACGATCGTTGGTTTCTGGTTAAAACGGGGCTATCCTCATGACCACAGAAAGGACACGGACTCAGTCGGTCCCAATGTTCTTCTGCATCTTCACACGAATCAATCTAAATATTTAAGTTTAGAATATGACAATATAATATTATACATAACGATGCATATTTTTCTGAGATAGTAAAAATGAACGAAAATAATTAAGATCAAAGTACTTACGTTTATTGAATGTAAATTATCTCTAATGGAAGATCTACTAACACATGGCACTACAGAAAATGTTAAAGTTCTATTCAGGAAAGACTTCCTTACTTTGTCCCAAAGCCAAGTCATTCGGAATCATTTAAAATATTGTTGAACTTGGGTTATTTTCCTATTCGTTTATTCCAAATACTGTAATAAGAGGATTTTCGATAACACTTTATATTGGAGTTATAAGGTTCATTATACTATGTTTTACATACGCGTGTCATGACAACCATATTAAAACGTATTCGATGCCCATGTTTTAGATTTATTTGACACATTTGGTTGTGCATCATACATATACCTATACGTACAGGGACTCATATATTTTTAATTCTATACATACATAATGTAAATGGATTTAACAACACAGTTCAAGGTTTATTGATTTTAAATTATTAATTTAAACTATTTTGAAACGTACTCGATTTGATAACAATTTAGCTTTGCCACGCCGCTATGGAATTAATGATACTTGCTAAAATTTGCCCGTATAATATAAACTATGTTAAAATAAATATTTTAAATAAAATCTAGTATACAACACTGAGGTGGACTAAAGTCGAAAATGGAATGACAAAGTTTAAATCAAAATTATTATAAGACTAAAAATGAGAAAAATATCTAAATACAAACATATAAAATTATCTATGTACATCAATATTTTCAAAAAAATTCTATACAGGACAGTACCATTAAATCCTTTGTAAAACTACTTAAGTATAATTTTTTTTTAATATTTTAAGTACCTAATTTATTTAATCTAAAAAAAAAAAAACAAAGATTATGTTCTTGCTATTAATTCAAGGACCTAGAAACAGCCATAACAAAAGCTTATATTTTAGGGGAGCTATTATTATATAACACAAATCACAGTGAAAACGCTCTCACACTCTCATATACTGATTTATATATAGACAACATTTAACACTATTCACTACCACAAGTTCAGTTCAAATTTTAATATAAAGATGAAGATAAATTATTTTGTACATTAAGATTAAGACATGAATGATTAGATTTTATCTCAATCTTAAATACAAAATTCTTGAATTTATTATTTTTAATCTGGGAGTACTAAAAAAATATTTAGGGAGGCTAAATATTTAGGTATCCCCCTAGTTGCGTCTATAGACTTGGATTATAAATAGATAAAATGAATTATGGAAAAACTAAATTATTAGGACCTCTATTTAAAGCAAGGATGACCAACCCAAATAATCTTGCGTGCCACTTTCAAAATACATTACGATCCCACGGGCAACATAAAAAATTATATTAGTATTTTGCCCCAATACAAAAATATTTAGAGTTAAAACAGTTTTTTTAGAGTTTTAAACAAGATTAATCATTATTATAAAATAAGTGTTGCTGTATTAATTATTTGAAGTAAACAGAATGAATTACGTATTATTGTTTTTATCACCGTATTCTTAATTTAATGCTTTCTAGAGCTCTTTAAATTGTCTGTGCGGAATCAAATGTAATTTACTGTTTTTATGACTACTTGCATGATTTATCGACAATACTTGAGAACGAAGATTTTGTCGACGAATCAAACAGTTTGTTGCAATTATGTTGATAATAATACGGCTTCCGCGTTGTGCGAGCATTTCAGAATATTTTATTGGGACAAAAATACATTTTTTTGTAAATGTTTGATAAATCTCGCGGGCCGCAAACTTTCCAAGGTAGGCCGCATGCGGCCCACGGACCGTGGGTTGGCCATTCCTGATTTAGAGTCATAACATAAAATATACATAATAAAATATCAATAAAATCACTTATTATTCCATGTAGTACTGTAGTAATAAAATCATATTTATAGCTAATATCTTAAAAAAAAAAAAACACATGCCTAAGATTCCCAAGTTTTGTCTTTTTTTTAACCTGTATTAGGTTGGTTTACAACATTTTTAGCTTTTCTCTTCATTTGCTACGATTTTCAGCAAGTATTTTTAATCCGGCATAAGTATCAATCCCTGCATCTTTTTTAGTTGAGATATGTACTAGTTTCGTGGTTTTCGTTCTTTAATGGCACCTTCTATTATACAGTATCTATTGTATTTTAGTATGATGCAATTCTTCGTCATGGCGAAAAACGTGTCCCATCATCGTTGCTTTATGACCTTTATTATGGTTGATTATGTTATTAATATATTTAGATCTTAAGTCCTAGTATTACCTCTCTAGTTCTCTTTTGCCTTCTGAATTCATACTGATCATTTCCAAGATATTGGTTGGCTTTATTAAATATACTTCAATGTATAATTTTATGAGTACCTTTGAGGCGTGAGGAAGTAAGCTCAGAGTTCTAAAATCTGTACAAGAGTCAGCTTTATTCTTTTATAGTAATGTTAAAATTCTACTGTTGCAAAAGTCCTTCGGTATTACTTCTGTTTCACATATATCTTTCATAAGATGGTACATTGCGTCTGTCACGCTTTCACTTGCGTTTTATAATAGTTCTCCGGAGATTTCATCTATTAGTGGGGCTTTTTTTATTTTTCAAATCTCTAAGACTAGCATTAAATTCATTTCTTAGTATCAGCACACCATAAGAGCATTCATTAGGTTCTTCATTAATATCTTATAACTCGTCCCCTTGATATAGTTCTTCAAGGTACTCTCTATCAATTTACCACCTACCTTGTGTCCAAAAACAATGTATAATTCTTGTCTTTAATATTATTATTACGAGTTTTTTTTTTGTATTGAGAAAACTTTTAATGGTTTCATAGGCTTAGTCAAGCCTATTTTTCCAAAAATATGGTTTTTTTTTCAGCACATTATTGCTCTAACCATTCTTCCTTCGCTTTTTTAGATTCTCTGTTTATACGATTTCTTAGGTTTCGATTTTAGTTGACCTTCCCTGTCATTCCTATGCTTGTATTTTCGTCTTTCCTCGATTAAGTCTAAGATACTTTGGGTAATCCATTCCAGTCTAGGTATTTTTCTTTTCACACTTAATGTGGTACTAGTGGCGTTTTCTTACAACTTTTTTGGTGCATTCAAATCTTTTGTCTATTGGTTCTTTTCGCTCATCTTAATTGTTGTATATTTTATTCATGTATTTTTTTTAGACTTTATTTTTTTTTTTAAGTTTTGTCATTGATTCATAAATATGTTTTAAGTATTTATAATCATTGTTTTTATAATATTAATTAATTAGAGGTTACTTCGCAGGTATTTTGAATAGTCAATTTACATTCACTCTAAGAATTTACTAAAATGTTTTGAAGGATTTGTGATCAAACTTTAAAACGTAAATGTAAATTAAAAATCAGAACAACCATACGATTTTATAACAAATGTTTGATACAAAATTTACCAAGCCGGTAATTTTATTAAAAAAGTGTGTAAGGAAAAGATTTAAACGTATAACTTCATTCATCAATTTACAATATTATTTTTAATAAATTTAATTATATTGTTTTAACATTTAATATGCAACTATAAAAACAAAAGTACCCAATTTTCAAAATTAGATCTGTCCCAGTCTCATTCACATCATTATTTTGAAATTATTTATTTTATTTCAAAACTAGAATTTCTTTGACGACCTTAATGAATTTCAAATTTTGAGTGGACTGAAATGAATTGGTGTGAAAAATGTATTTTTTTTTTTTTATTAATGATAACATTTGTAAGTAATAAATCTGTAATACAATTTTGAAGTAAATTCATTTTACAGAAAGTGAACCACTAAAGGAACAATTTGAGATTTTTTCTATTAATATAGTTCATGATTAATAAAAATACCAAAACATTAGTTAATTTCATATTTTTTAATAGTTATGTTTATAATGAAAAAAATGTACAAGTATTCTAAAAAAAATGTAAATTAAACATATTTTTTATAACATGTTATCTATTTTTAAATAAACAGTATTTATTTAATGTGAAATTGTAATTACTGTTTGATCAAAAATTAGTAATTTTCAATAATAATGAACCAAATTATTCCCAAAAATTACATTTTGAAATAGTTAGTATGTAAATTAATAGGTACATAAAAAAATTATTTCTTTTTCCATCTTAACTAATAAATCAAGGAAAACTGATCAAACCCAAAAATTATATTTCAAAATTACTACTAGAATAAAAATGTTAAACATACAACTACATAATTTAACTCTCTACATTTTATTTATAAATTGACAAATTGAATTATAATTTTTGAATATTCTATTAAATAGATAAAGTTATTTATATATTGTAAGTTAATAAAATTAATAATAATTTAAATAATAAAATTGAAATAGACACTTTAATATCCTTTATTAATAAGTAAAATTTAAATAGTCTATAATAATATTTTAAAATTAATTTAAATACTGCATGCTTTTTTTCTTTAAAATTAAATAGGAAATTGGAAGACTAATACCTTACTGTAATAAACCAAAAAAAACTTTAAGTTGTTATAATACATTCTATTAGGTAACATTCATTAGTATAATGTCGATTTTTTCAGAATAAAAAAAAAGGTAACATTCAATGTTAATTTATGACTTATAAATAAAGTAAATACTTAGCTAGTCCAATAATAATAGTACAGTTTATACTTAATTAACAATTTAGTCTCAAGAAAAATATATAACATAAAAACAAATAAGTAAGAACAAAAAGTAGTGACATAATTTACATTTTAGAATACTTCATTAAAATTTTTATTTCAAAATACTCAAAAAAAAAAAAAAAAAGAATATTTAAAAAAAAAAGCCCATCAGTAAAAAACCATCAATCATAAAAGTTAAATTATTTTGTAAATTATCATAGATATAAAAACAAATTAACAATCTAACGCCACCTGGTCAAAGAATCAGCCTCAGATGAATTATTTTTTGATCCAGAACTAGATGCACGTCTCATCTAAAAAAGCAAAATATAGGTTATATCATAACAATTTAATGTAATTATAACAATTGCATAGGTGTATAATAATTACTAATAACTACTTTAAATAATTCAATTTCACAAACTCAACATTTTATTAAATTAATTTGTAGAAAATAGTTAAATAAGCAATCAAACTACCTAAAAATAAATTTAGCAATCTTTTTTTAATTACATGGTTAATTTTAAGAACAAAACTATTTTTGCTTATTAATTATAGTTCTAATACAAATATAATACAATATAATACAATTATAAATTGACTGCTATCTGCTATTGTTGAGCAGTTAAGATAAAGGAGAAAATGTATCAAACTATACTTAATACAGTTTCATAATAATTTGAATTATTAAATTTATAAATAATTGAATTATTACAAAGTTTAATTGTAAGTACATTTTCATTGGTGATAATCAAATTGTTATAATATGCAAGACTAATTTTTAGGCTGATAGCAATTTTATTTTTCTGAGGTCAATGTCTAAGAACAAATAATATAAATACATATTTAATATTTTGACCCGTGCTAATTTTAAATGACACATAACAATAGTTAAAATACTAGTAACATGTTATTATATTTCAAAAATGTTGAAGAATTAATTTCATATAATTCATGTTTTTCAAGAATTTTCATATGAAAAATAAAATAATATTCCAATATCACCAATATTAAATATTTTTTCTAACTGATAAAAACACTTTATATTGTAATATTGTAATATATATATTTATTGCTAGTAGTAGACAAATGTGTACAAGTGTATGGTTACATATGGATTTACTAGCATTGCTCTATACTGAGGTAATACCTCTTATCGTAGAGCAAGAAAAATATATTTTAATATATTTTAATATATTTTAAATATAATATATTTATAGAAACTAATTAATTTATTAAAAATGAAATAATTTTTTGTTATGAGTTATTTTAGACTAATAATAATAATATTTTATAGTTACATTAGCAGATGTCAGACTATCTGATAGACTATTTTGTGCCTTGGCCTATAAACAATGAAATAGTACTAAAGATTAGAAAAATCTAAAAACATTTTTTTTCTTTTTCTAATTACAAAAATATCTTACTTTATTGTATTGGCTTCTTGATAAACTATCACTTTTAAAATCTTTATTAATATCATCTTTATCATCTTTTTTATTGTAGCCAAGTGGTTTTAGAATCATAGAATTTGGTGCATTCTCATTTACCGGGCTTTCTGTAAGTTTGTTAAAATTTAATTTTAAAATCATTAGTTTTAAATAAATGACCTTATAAATACCAGAATTTAGTTCCTTAACTAAGGTTGACATAGCATTTGTCACAGAATCTGCAGCTACTAATAAATCATTTCTTAAACTTCGACTTCCACTTGAAATAGACCCACTTAAACTAGTGTTACTTGATGCACTAACAGGTGTACCTAAAAAAAAAAATAATTCATAGATACAATTATACAAACATATTTTATTACTTTACCTGCTAAAGAGTTACCAGTAAATGCTGATTTTACATCACCAACCATTATGGAGTCAGATGTAGACATAAGAGATAGTGATGATGCTGAAGTCAAAGTTCCACCTGGTGTAGGAGGTGCCGACTTTGAGGGAGGAGGAGACTTAGTTGAGCGAGGTGATGAATTTGGAGTTGAACGTGGGGATCCTTGATGATTCTAAAATATAGAATTATACCAAAGTAAAATTTAACTTAATTACTTAAAAGTATTTTCATGATAAATATAAAATAGTTATTACTAAAGTATAACTAATTCAAAAATTACAATTACATTAAAATGTTAAAGAAAATATAAAATATAAAATATATATAAATATATTTAAATGTTTAAGAGACATGAATCATTATTATTAATTACATTAAAATGTTTAATAATAATGATTCATGTCTCTTCTGAATAAATAAATTATTTTAAAGTAACAATAATTTTTTACTTATATGAAATGTTGAAAACATTGCATAATAATTTATTATTTTAAATGTAAAATCTGATGAGCAAAACTATCTCAATCTTTAAGCCAAATAACAATACATTCATTCTAGTTCACATATTTAATACAAATATAATTTAAGTAATTTACTTTTAAAAGTTTCATTAATCCTTCTAACTGCACCATTAATTGTCTTCTAGAATCTTGTAAAGATGTTAAATGAGCTTCCAGTTCATGTTTTCTATTACGCAATGCACGAAGTTCACTCATAAGAGCAGGATTATCTTCAGAAAATCCAGAACAAAATCCTTCCATTTCTTGTTGTTTCCTATAATTGTTAAGTATAATATTTTTAAAATATTCCATAATATATTTATATGTAAAAATTATCAAGAAATAACAAACCTAAGTCTTGAAATTTCTTTCATAATTTCTCTATTTTTAGATTCTAGTTGAGTAATAAGTTCTCTTTGAGCTCTAGATGTATCCAAACTTAAAGAGCCTTCCGATGGAGCTCTACCCTAATGAAAATAATTATAAATTAAATAAATTAAAAAAATCTATCTTTATGAACATATGAAGAATATTAATTTACTACTTTAGCTTCAGCAGCTAGCCTAGCAGCATAACGTGCAATTAATTTATGTTCATCATCCATTGAAGTATAATCTAAACTCATTGTACGTTTGTCAGGACTAAAGATATAAAAAATAAATGTACATAAGAACATAAAAACAAACTTATATGATTAAAATGATTGAATTACCTTCTTGAACTAGTCTTACTGTCCAATGTATTAAATTGGCTTTGACTACTAAGGGATAATTCAGAAAAACCATTGTGGCATGGCAAAGGAGATGGTGGTCTTAAACAAAATAAATTGTGTAAATAGAATATTCAATTTTACAATAGAAAATATATATCTTACATAATGTGAGATAAATTAATGGTTTTTTCAGGTTCTTCAGGAAAACGTGGTATACTCGCCTTTTCTTTTTCAGGTACACAGCGAAATGATTTTCGAAGAGAATGACCAATTTGTTTACTAGGAGATTTCTGTATAAAAAAAGTTAAAAGCAAATTTGAAGAATAATTGAAATAACATGGTACAATGAACTTACATAACTAGTGTATTCCTTAACATCATGCTCAATAGTATGACTAGATGCAACTCGTCCTCTCCAAAAGCATTCTTGACACATTTGAAAATTATGACATTTTTGACATCGATATCGAAATCCTGTAAAATTATCACGGCGACAAGCATCACAACTAATAGGATGTGTAACTGGAAAAAAATAAAATGTTAAACAAATTATAAAAAAATTAAATCAAATTAAATTAACCATTTTCAACATTAGCCAATCGATGCAATAACGGCAACCAAACAAGACAAGCTGGGCCAGGATCTGACATCATTGAATCCATGAAATCATTAACAGTCACTTTACTATTCTGTAAATTCATAACAATTGTCAATAGGTAAAATAGTCAATAAATAAAATATATTTTACCCCAGAAAATATTTCTGCTGATATCTGATCACTATAATGAAAAGAAGGAGATTCATATACAGCTGATGGAAGTACCAACACTTCTTGTAAATATTCTCGAAATTTCCAAGCCACCATATGTCCATTTTGATCACATATTTGTGAAAATATATCTAAAATCAATCAAGTGTTGCTTTACTACCAAAACTATAAAATTCCTAAAAAATTATTCATTTACATCTAAGTTTATCCATAAGTTTTCCTGAACACATTGTAGCCAAAGCTACTTTTATAGATAAAACTCTTATCCTTCCCATGGTATCGTTACTGTAAAAAAAAACATATTAAATTGAATATAATGTGTTTTTTGAGTATTCATACAATTAATAACAAATGTATTATTCAATATATAACTAGCCTTATTAGTTTACTTCAACTATCTATTTTTCAAAACTATATTAATAAGTATTTATAATAATTTTATAAGTATATATAATATTTTATACATATATATTACAACTTAATTTAGGAAAACTTAACATCAAGTTGCCAAAATATACAGTATACAAATTCAATATTAATATACAATAGTTGACTCCAATATATTAAAAATATAAACTTAACAATGAAATGAAACATCTAATGAATAGAATGCTTGAAAAATAAATAAGAGAGCTCAAAGTTATTAAATTAATGTCACAAAAGATATAAGTTTTTATTGAAGGTCATATAAAATATAAATATTGTTCTATTGATTTCTAATTAGTATAAACATTGAAGCTTATTAAACTGTATATTAATAAGTACCAAAAATAAAAAATTTATTGTTAACTTACGCAGAATAAACAGACATAATCCAATTAAGAAGTATTGTAGTTAATAAATCATCATGGACCCGTTGTTGAGTAGGTAACCGTTTATTTAAATTGAGATATAAACTAGTTAAAAGTGTTTCAAATTTTGAAACATTAACTTCAACATGAGATTCTAACGTGTTTAAACCATTTTCACGGAATGCTTCAATGACATTCCATATATCAATCATATGTACTAGACAAATAATTAACATAAGTATTAAAAAATAAACAAATATAATCAACATTATTTAATTTAAAATAAAAGCAATAGACTACAAGGTCATACATTTAAAATAAACATTATAGATACAGGATATATTAGGATATAAAGTTTGGAAGCTGAACATTTTTATCACATTGCTTACATTAATACAAGACAGTGATGGGTCATTTTTATAAATCAAAATTATAAAACAATGCAAAATTTAAAATTTCTTAAATATTTGTAACAATTTATGTTGTTTGTTGTTTTAAATATATACTATAAGTTTAACTTTCAATTTAAAGCTATTTACTTTTTGAAAGTAATATTTAAAAAAAAAAAATTTAATTTATTATATTGCATGTTTAATAGACAAATATAAGAAAAATAAAAATGATGACAAAATTAATGATTAAAAGTAACTATGTTTAGTTTTAAACACTTTTATAATAATATTTCATTTGACATTTTGACAGTTTAGTAAAAGTTTAACAATAAATCATAATTATAGTAATTATGATTATGTCAAAAATGATTCATCACAATGTAAATTAACTGAAATAGCAATAAAAATTTATGTTGTAGTTAAATATAAACTAAGAAATTAATAAAATTTTAAAAAAGTATACTCTAAGAAACCTTGGAAAAAAATTTGTTCCATTGTTTTCTTGAAAAAATTGTTTTTAACTTTATACTGATAAAAACAAATTCAGTATTTTTACAGAGTTTAAACCTAATATCAAGGATGACGACTATAACAAATGTGATAAGCAGTGACGGTACTAGAGTTTGTGAGGCCCTGGGCAAAATAAATGTTAGGTCTTATAATTTCTATTAATAAAATATTTTAAAATTATAATTACAGTTAAATCAGAACTGCGGGGCCTTAATTATAATTTAAGGTGCGCAGCCCTGGGCAACTGCCCCTATTGCACTCCCCTCGCGCTGTCCCTGGATAAGCATGATCAATTTACAAACATAAATGGTTAAAAACAAGGTTCTGTAATTAAATTTAAATTTTTAGTGTCATAATTGATTTTGAATTTTAAAATCAATGATATAGATTAGCGGTTCCCAAACTTTTTTTTTCAGCAGTGCCTTTTTTTGGACCCAATTTAGTCACGGTGCCCTGCTGTGAACTACATTACAGAACAAAAAAAAAACCTATTGATAACCAATTTTATTAATTTTCTTAAAATTTAACTTAATTATAAATTAATGCATTTTTAAACTTAAAAAATTAATAAATAAAAATTATTGTTATTATGATTATAATTATTATATAAAATTATTATAAAGTTAAATTGAGAATATCCAAATATACAATAGAAAATATTACATTATTTGCTATAAAGTTTTTATGAAAACCATAAGGAAAAACAATTTTATACATTTTAAATTATTTGTTATGAACCATACGTAGACCGCGGTGCCCTTAGAAAATGGTCGTGGTGCAGTTTGGAAATCGCTGATATAGATAATAAAAATAGTTTAGTTAAAGAGTGAGTCTATTATACTATCTACATAACTATAATAAAAACACTAACCTACTCATTATAGTGAAATACTGAGATAAACAGAACATTGCAATTTAAAATTGTTTTAAAATTTAAATTTTTCTTAACAGTAAATTTATACTAGCAATCAATTGATTGAGTATAAATATGAGTTAATATTAATTGTATAAGTATAATATAAAGATATATGTAATACAGTAATTTTGAAAAAAATAAATTTCTATTATTTTTATAATACAGGAATTAAATCATATTTCAAACATTACAATTTTATTATTATAATTATTATATAAACAGTATTTAAAAAGAATATTTTTCAATTTAAAATAGGAACTTTTTAAGCAGAACTTGTTAATAATAGACACATTGTCATTCTCATTGTCATTGGAGACATTATTGAGTTATAAAATGTTTGTTTCATAAAAATGAACTTCAATTGATGAAATGAGTGAATTAAAAATATAATTATTATTATTATTATTATTATTATTATTATTATTATTATAATTCATGTATGTTGTAGGAAAATAAAAAATGATACAATGGTTTTTGACAATATTCACAAAGGACCTGTTCTTATCTAAAACTACATGTACCACAATATAAACTCAAATAGATACTCAGTCAATAAAAAACTTACGGTATACTTTTTTTTGCACATATCTGAGTTTACATGCTGTTCTGTAAGATGCGAAACGTATCATATCATAGTTCTGACATCGCATTTCTTGTAAGAGTTGAAAACGGCAGTCAGTCGTTGCTCTCCTATCAGCAGTCATGCTATAATAAATTATTTACAAAACATAGTATTGATTACTATAAAAAAAATAAATGGTTAGGTTAGGTTAAATGGTAAATGGTTAAGTTTTAAGACATAAGATCTCAATTTGTAACTATTGTGAATTTAAGATAGAGATATTTTACGCATTTAAATAAATGTATAGTATAGAGTTAATCAAATTAGAACTTACATGGTTTATAAAAGAGTATGATCTTAATATAATATATAATTAATAGAAGGACCGATCATACTTTAACTATTTAAAACTATTTTTTAAACACGTAGTGATCCATACAACCTAACTAATGGCAATCACACTGTTCAAACGTGTCTACACTACTGCCTATAACTGCTAAATAATAAAACTTAAATTAAAAATATACAATATTGTCCGCCCACGATTTTATCAAACGGTTATCAAAACATCAAGCAGTGATGCCGAAAAAAATAGGTAACATCGAGCGTTATAGATTTTACAACGTTGGCAACGAGTGTTAAACTTTACAAATTTATGTTGTGATAAAATACCGAAAGACCATAGACAGAAAATCTAATTTACAAAATCATATTAAATTTATGAAGCTTCCAATATGCTGCGATGACATAGTTATCAGTTTCTCTCTGCAACTTGATTCAACTCGCCAATCTATATAATTTCTTACATGTCTATATTTGAGCAGCAATGGTGGAGGCCGGATTCAACAATTAGAATTCTAATATTTAATTAGATATCGCCACATTTTTTGTTTTTATTAGCAAGAAACGGGCTATATTACCATGGTCCATGGTATAAAGACAGTTGCTACACATTTACAATATAAATATAATATTTAATATAAAAATATAATATTTCCTTATGAAGTGGTATTTGCAATAAAACTATACAACCCGTAGTTAGATTTTGTACGTCCTCTCGTGTTACCAAACCATAACCGATTAAAATTTGACAAAAATCAAAAATTTTAAATGCCTATAATCAGCATAAATGTCTCCTAAATATAATGAACATGTGTAAATATAAATACAGGGACGTATTTACATGTTTCCTGCGTGTAGAGCTGTAGAAAATTGCCGTTCTAAATAACTGAAATAATATACCACACTAACTGTGTTATAATTTAATTACATACTTTAAAATATACATTAATTAGGTTAATATACAAAAAAAAATGTATTTATATACTTAACATTTTTTTTTAAGATTTAAACTATTTTTATTAATAATTAATAACAAAATACATTCTTTAAATTTGCCACTGTAGGTTAGGTTAGGGGCATGCATATAAATATGCCACTCATAGGTGTGTTTACGGTTATGGTCACTCTGGCAATGGCCAGACTTGTAAAATCTAGCTCCGTTTTAAATTTATGCTTAAATCATTAAAAATAATTACTAAAAAGTAAAAAGAATGATTAAATAAAACAGAACTAAATAATAAATATTTTCACATAAACTATTATATATGTATAATATGTCTTTGAAAAAAACTAACCAATAATATTTATCATCTAATATCCATAACTATAAGTATCCGTGTAGTTATAGTTGTATTTTATGTTATGTACCTTTTTTTTTTTTTTTTTTTTTTTTTTGAAGAGAGTGAGTATATTAACTAGCTACAGTTACTGTAGTAGCTACAATTACTACACACCTTCTTGAGGTAGTGTATTGTGTATTAGTCACTCTTTGTCTTCGTATCCTAAATGAAAATTTTAATTTTCCTAATGGAAAATGTTATTGGCATACCTGCACGAAATTTTCAGACACGCCTATGATGTCACTGTGTATATATATACATATTATTGTGTAGTCGTAAATATAGAAGAGCTTAGTTCCACCAAAATATCGTAATTTAAAAAAATTTAACACATATATGTTAATGACCTATAAAATGCATTTTTTTAGATACATACCCAAATCTATTCATCGTGCCATGTTTAGTTGTATGTAAGTACGAATTATGTCCATAAAACAAAATTAAGTGTGTTGTATTTTCTGAGTATTTAAAAATTCTAAGTAATTAATAAATTAATGTAATATGTAAAAAGAATTCTAGGGAATAATTGTTTATACATATTCTTATACTCAGTAACGTCGAACCCTTATGAGGTTGGGTCTTTTGTTATATTCTGAAAATTTAAGATCTTCATGTTGAGCCAAATGTTGGGTGTCATATCATATGTAAAATGTCATTACTAAATTAAAACCTATCATCAATATTTTTTAGGTGAAAACCATTATCCCCAAGCGGTTCGTCATTGGGACCGATATTGTGATATTTTTAAAAAATTTTCACCTGAATAAATATTTAGAACTTCGGCGTCAATACCAGGGCCATAGCAAAGGGGGAGGGGACATTTTCCTATGCCCCCATCGCAATTCTTAGGAGGGTGCAAAATGAAAAATTTGCATTTTATCTTAAAAATTATAACGATCAATGTTGTACATTTTATATCGAACAAATACATTAAATGTCCTTATATAATTAATGAATATAATATCTAATATTATTTTTGAATAGAAAATATATAAGGTTGTATATTTGGTTACTACAATACTAACCACTACCATTGATGATTAATTGCAATTATTTAATCATATTACTTATTTAACACGTTGAGTGCTGAACGTCGACATTAGTCGAAGCTTTCAGCACTCGCAGCATTAAGACATCGTTTATTTAAAAAATCATAAAATAAAATACAAATTGTATAGATAAATATAAAATACACGAATAAATGTGTCCGTCGGATAAACAGTTAAAATATCGATTTACCTATCCAGATTCTATTATAATATATTATTATATAGAGGCAATGTTTAAATTATGCATACGCACATACCATATGCTCCCCTGGTACATGGTGTATCAACAGCGCGTGTCACAAACCAGAACGCTGTACGCCGGTCACGAATGGTCGCAACGTATCGCAATCAAATCGGATACTCACACCCGGCCACATATACGCACCGGAAATTATATAGGTTTGTTGTCTTCGTCGTCGGAGAAAAAAACAATTCGTTGGAAAATATTGCAAACAATATTCATTCATTGTCAACTTTCTTTTCATGGTTTTCTAAATTGAGAGAGCAGAAATTAATCTTGCAAAGCATTTTAATCTACCTACCTAATTATATGCTCTATAATTTTCAAATTATATTCAATACCCAAGCCATTTATATCATAACTGTCAACATATTACCAATATTACTTATAGAAATTATTATTAACAATATTTAAGTCGTACAAATACTTGTAATATCACTTGGTGTACTGAAGCATTTTAATTAACAACAAATTAAAACAAATAAATAATTTTATATTCCTGTAAAAGAAAGACTTAGAAAATAGAAGTTCTAAAACATCTAAAACAAAATATTATTTTCCATTTTATTTTATTTTTATCATTGATTTTGAATATACCAAAATAGTAGGTATATTCTAAAATCAATGTTTTTATATATAAGTACAATAAAATAATATTTACAATAAATTAAGTACTTAACAATAAAAATACTTGATGCCCCTTCAACTGTTTGTGTTTGAAGTAGTAACCTAAGCGGTTCATTTCGAATGTCTGCAAAGTTATATTTTGTTCGATTACATTATAAGCAAGGGCGGATCCTAAGGAGTTTCAGATCAGCTAACCAACAGTTAATATTGGTTGACAAAATTGACCTTTTGAAATTTTTTTTTATATTTTTTCAAATGTGTTGTGATTCCTGGTTGAAGTTAATACTAAACTGGGTAAATGCTTCAGTTACCTTCCCCCCATCACTGACGCAACTGGTTTAATTGTATTGTATAGTAGAACATCTTTATGCCGGACCCCATGCACGTAAGACGGAATCTTCCATTAAATGTTAATATTTTCATTGATAATAATGAATATACTTAAAAACACATATTATATAATCATAATGTATTTTTTTGTAACAAGGTATAAAATTATAATATATTTTCAGTCCTGATAGCCTCTTGAAAAAGCCTGAGTTCCCTAATTGTGGATTCACTCCTGGCTCTTCATTACGGACCGAGAATTTTTTTTTTAAAGCAGTCCGAAAATCATTGTTTGACCGATTAACATTCATGTTAACAAATTCATCAACATTTATATTATATTATACATTTTTCAGTTGAATAATCAAAACATGAACTATAAAAACAACAATGATGACAAAAATTATTTATTCAATCATTTATTAATACTTTATGTTAAGTGCCAAATGGTAAATTTACCTTTAATAGTTATTCTTAATGCGACAAATTACGTAATATTATTTATTATTGTAAATGTGTTATTGTAATTTATAGATTCTAAACAAAAAATAATAATTATTGTATTAAAAAAATCGCAATTAAGTATTATAACCAAACGACTTAACGACATCGGGAAATTTCCCGTTCTCCTGAACTGCAATGAAGCAAAAAAGTTAAAAACACATTTCGGGTGTGTATTCAAATATGTCCCTCTGTCCCACATTAGTTTTTAAAATAGAATTGCAAGCAAAATGCATTAGAATGATAAATGGAAGGCGAAGCAGTTATTTTATAAGTTATAAGTTATAAGTTGTGCGCGAACTTATATCATCGCGCAGGTCGCAAGGCTTTAATACGTGTCTGTCTCATCAGGGCCCCATGCACAGTACGTCGATTGTCAGAGCGTTTCAAATATTACGTATATTTGTTCTCTTAATATATGAAGTTTTCTATGATCCGTTCATAGCCATTACTTAACCTTTTTACTAGTTAATTTCACTTAAGTAGAATGTATATTATTGTTATTATCATCCCAATCATTTATTTTTGGCTTATTGTCCATACTAGGCGTAATAGACATAGATGAAATAAAATATTTACCGGGCTAAATTATATTTTTTTGCCATGGTAAGTTTAGAAAAATATTTTCTATGGCAAAAAAATATAATTTATATAATATAAATATAATCTCTTAAATAATAGAGTATATATAAATATATCAATACAATATATGTATCTAGATAGATACTAGTTGAATTACATGGCTTTGACCATGAAAATAAATGATTATCTCTATGTTAGGTCATAAGAAAATAAAAAAATTATAAACGTCACTTTCCTTCTTATTTTGACCCAGGATTAGAACTGACAGCAAGTTTCCCTTGTTAGCATGGTTATATGCCCGGCATAAGTTTAATTGACAGTTTTAGCCTCGGTTTTAACGTAAAATCCAAGTGATAGTGATTCTTGTGGTTGGATGCTCCATGGAGTATTAGAAATAAACAATAATAAATAAATAATTAACAAATAGATTTGAAATTAAGTCTAAAACCTGCTTCATGACATACTCTTTTACTTTTTAAAAAATCAAAATAATCAAAAGAGTAGTTTCAGAGAACATGTGTGACAAGGATTCCATTTTCACACATATACTCTTATATATGAAAATTCAAATTTACTTATAAAATGCTCTTCATTAACTTTAGAGGGGTTTTTTTTACATACACAATACATTATATTTTTAAGAAAAACTGAAAAAAAAAATGTTGTACTAATATATTATAATGGACAGGTTTATTTTCTACCCAATACACAACAGACAAAAAATATATTAATAATTATTATTGCCATCAAATAGAACTTATAAATCTAAATTAATAAAACAAAAATTATATACTTCCTTTTGTTTTCTGTAATTTTCTGAAACAACAAGTTGGTACAGCAATTACACATGTAAAATTAATTCTCATACATAATAAAATGTAAAATTATTATTAATAATATATAATATATATATATATATATATATATATATATATATATAATTTAATATGAGTAAATTACCTCATAACAATTGTTGTTTCAGATCTAAAAACACAAATATTAAATAAGAAAAAGGAAAATTTAAATTATATACACATTTACTAACTACATAATGTAGAATACAATTGCATTAATGATACTAAAAATAAAACAAAATGAACACAATATAATTTTTTATAAATATTAATAAATTGGTTCATAAATAATATAACTATTATTATGAAAGAAGTCTTATTAAGCAATTTTCTAGTATCCAAACCAAGCATTGTTTTTAATATATATATATATATTTAAAAAAAATTTAATTGCACAGAGCAAATATTAAAACACACACACACACATACATTACATTACATTTTATACTAATGACCTTATGAAATAATTTAACATAAAATTTGATGAATAATATTAATGTTCTTTTTTTTGGAAACTTAGGTAGCAGTGCTTCTACTATTATAGCATCACAAAAGTTAAAATAAAAAATTGCACTGGAATCTAATTTAATATTTCAATATACAAATTTTGAAATAGAAAAAAAAAAGAAAGAAAAAAAAATTGGTTAAATGGTTAAAAATTCAAACTCTAGAAAAAAAAATATACATATCAATAAAAATAAAATGTTAATACATACTTACACAAAATAAATGTGTAAGCAATTAATTAAAACCCAAACGTTTAAGGGTATTTTTACTGGCAAAGCGTGGCACACCTTCATTATTGTGACCTGCCCATGTTTTTGATTTAGACCTGAACCTTCTTAAATCTTTAGTATGAGCTGGGTCATACATAGACCTGTAGGTAGATGGCACACATAAGTGACTGTATTGAGCATAAAATTTACAGTATCCACCATCAAGCAAATACATTTCTGGATAGTCCAAGTATGGATAACAAGTACTATTTTTTTGTCGATCTGCATTTCGTAGGTATCGGGATCTATATATAAAAACAAGTTTATAATTTAATTTTCGGTGAAAACATATAATAACAACTAAATACAATATATAATATTAATTTGTTACAATATATTATAATAACAAGTAATTAACATTAAATTAAGTTTTACTTACAAACTTGGACCTCTTTCAGATGAAAATTCACAATGAAATATCAAAACATTTCTTTTTCTATTAGTTATGTCAGATTTGGATGATTTTGTACCTAGTTTATTATCAGTATAATCTTGAAGTAATTGCTCTTTAGTATATATGTTAATTGCACCTTTTATATGACCACCCTCATATTCATAAGGATATCTATGAATTAAAAATAATAACTTATAAACATATTTTTTTTTATTTTACTCTTCAATTGCCAGACTTATTATATAATATTTTTTCTTAATATTTATTTATTTCCTCATTTCCTTTAATATCATACCACGAACAATTTTAACTATTTTTTTCTCAATTTTTCTATGAATAATTCCACACCAAAATCACCTTTTCTATACTTATTCTTTATCTGCATATTCTCCTTAATTACTTTACACAACACCCACGACCCACACTCTACTCTATAATAATTTAGAATTAAAAATCACTTTTTACTAAAAAAATAAATATAAATATTACCTGCAATCTATTATCAAATAGGAATCAACACAATCATCATAAATGCCTTCAAGTAAAAGTGCCAATGTATCAGGAGATATGCTACGGAGATCTGCATGACGACCAAATGACAATAAAGGTAATATAAACGATTGACTGAAATCACCAATTAAGTTTAATCCGTTGTCCTCTGAGAAATATAATTAGAAACCTTCTATTATTAAATGTACAAAAGTCAAAGTCAAAAATAAGTTTCAGTCAAACTCAATGTATTATAAACAAATATACTTTGAATATCTTTTAAAAAATAGCAGTAAATTAAGAGTACCTTAAAGAAAAGAGCTGAATATGTTAGTATTACAATAAATTAAGTCTTGAGAATGAATTAAACTTTGACTTTTCATTTATATTTTCCAAACAAAAACTTCACAGACATAAAGAAGTGGGAATTTTGATTTTTCTTTAACTAGCATATTAATAAATTTACATTGACTTATACAAACATAAAAAAAAATTACTTGTTTCATTAAAAAAAAATATCAATACTTGTAGGACAAAAAGTAACATATATTTGAAATGTTCATTCCTGTTGGACCTCTAACAATATTAGACTTTTCGCAAATAACTACAATATGTCCAATTTTTAATTTAAAAGGATTTTATATAAAATATATTAAAGAACTCAAAATTATAAATTGCATATTATAAAATAGAATTAAATGTATTTACTTATAACAAAGGATTTAAAAAAATGCTTACAGGATGTTAAAATAATAATTTAGATTATGAATTAGAACATATTCACCTTTCTCAAATGCAGCTTTTATTGTGGCTTCACTAGTAGAAAATGATCTTCTGAGTTTAGACACATTATTCTTGCAGAATCCATAATCAAAAAGAGTAGTTTTTCTTTGAGTTGCAGGAGCAGTAAAAGAGGTCTTGGAAGTATCTAGTTTTGGAGATTCAAACGACATGGATAGATCAACATTGGGTCTCAACTTTTTTGATGTAATAGATTCTTCTGAACATTCAAATTCATTTATTAATTTTCGTTTTCTTACACAAACAGTAGTGTTTTTTATATCTTCAAAAACAGAATCCTAATTTAAAAATAATTTTATTAAAAATTATAAAATAAAATAAAACATATCAAATAAATGAACATACAGCTTTCCGAGGAATATCTGAACAATATTTTTTTTTTCGTTTGACAATAGGCTTTATGACTGGAGATTTTTGTCCGCATATATCTCCATCAATTAAATTATCAAACCCAGGAGGAAGTGAATTTTGCGACTATATATTAACAATCATAAATGATAAATTAAACATTAAATATTAATCATAATTTTTTTTTTAGTAATTTACCAATCTATCTGGAGATACAGTATTCTCTATGAATGAATCATCAATACCAGGGACTGCATTGGGACTAATAAAAGACTCTGAATGAGACATTTCTAATGATGCATTTCTTTTTTTAATAACTCCTTGGGATTCACTTATTCTACAAGCAAATTTATTTATTTTACTTTTAATCAAATACAAACCAATTTTAATTTTGAAAATCACCTATTTGATGATCTTGAGTCCTCAGAAGGCACCGAGAAAAAGCCACTATCTTGTGAGTTAGGATCATGGTCTTCTAATGGATGACGTCCTCTTGTAGGGCGACTAAGTATTAAAAACTACAAAAATACATAATTTAATTGAAATATTTGTTAATCATACTAAATGTTTTAAACTGAAAAATATCAGTATTATAACTTTTACAAAGAAAACTATAAAAATATTCTATTTTTACGGCTCATTTATAAAAATTTAAACTTGTAAGAATTTTTACCAATAAAATGTATACAATTTTTATAATTCTGTCAAAGTTTAATACTCAAACAATCATATTTATTTTATTTTAGAAATTAAACATAAATAGCTTAAAAAAAGTATTTTGAGAATTATAAAATTTAGAGCAAACTGTAATATAAGCATTCAGTGATAACTTTAAAAATCTCTAAGACTATTATATTTGAGCTATGAGGAAAAAAAAAATTTGAATTTGTTGAACACCGGTATGCTGTAATTAGGCCTTTTACGACAGTTTTTCAAAATTAATAAAAATATATAGGGAAATTCTTAAAATGAACCACTTAAAGTACCAATTAGATAACATTTCCTGTTATAATACTCTCAGGTTTGATTGGAGCAATTCTTATGACAGAAATTATGTACAAAGAAAAAAATAACATATATCATGTTAAAAACAATAAATGTTCTTCGTTTCACTTAGAGTCTGGAACTTAAATTATTATTAATTATATTCATTTTTCATTAATATTTATTATTTACCTAATTTTTTGGGATATATTACAATATATATTTTGAATACAGATGTCATTATTATCAATTTAATTACAAATATTATAAGAAATGTTAAGTCTCAAGATATAGAACTAATTAAAAAATAATACAGTTTACAATTATTTTATACCTATTCTATATAATTTTATAAATCCATAATTTGTTTAATAAATTAAAAATTAAATTACCGTTGGACTTGATTGGATTGGTGATGCCATTGTTTTGGAGACAATCATATCCATACACTTGGTTGTATTTTCTTTTTCAACTGGACTATTTATTATTTTTTGTAGCATTAGACTTTTCAATGTAGGACTATCACTAATATTTTTTGAATTTCCTTTATATAATCTTTAACAATACAAAACATATTTAATAACTTAGAGACATATATACATGGTAGAAGTACACCTTAATTATGTTATTTACCTATTATTTTCAATTCCTAATGAAACGTTTTTATCATGATCTACAAACATAAAATTAAGTTTTTCATTCGTTAAAATAAAAAAATTACAATATTTAAGGTAAACCACAGGAGGTTTAATAATTTACATATTTAATTAAGTATAAATGTAAATAAATTACTTAAAAAAAAAAATAGATAAAATATTGTATTTACCATGCAGTTTATTTTCATAGCTTTTTTTTGGAGTTTCACTTGACTCGGACAATGTAAGTCTGCGTCTGACAGTCAGTGAAGTTCCAAGACAATTTGCTAAATTTGTCATAGGTGATGCTGCATCTTGGATTGGTGCTCTATCTGAACTCATTTTTAAGCTTTAATATTTACTGACTATATTTTATTGTATAGTATGGAATGTTCTGAAAGATTATTAAAACATTTAATTATTTAATAATAATCATTATTTATTAAATTAAATAAAAGCATATTTCAACAATTGAATAAACTAATAGAAAAATGAAATACTTAAGTCTATGTTAAATATTTTTTTAATTTTTAAAATATGTTACCATCATAATTAACTTTTTAATAATTAGTGTATTGTTTTCTGTTCAACATCATATTTTTCTTAATGATAAAAATCATTATTCAAAAAATATTAGGTAATTTAAACATGTTTGCTTATCTCTATACAAAATTAAACATCCCTATTATTGCATAATAATGTAAGTATAGGAATATAAACATAATTTCATGTAATTATGGCAAAATTTTGTATGATATTAAAAGTTTGAAAATATATCTATTCGTTTGTATAAACCCCATAAAAAAAATCAAAAAATATTTATACTTCTAGATCTATCATTGTAACTTGTATATACACCAACTAATCTTATTGCCAACATCCAAGTATTATTTCTTGCATTTTTCTTTACAGATTAATTTACACAATATTTTCTATACCTTAGATATACATTATATTTTATTAATCATTATAAAAACTAGCAAATAAAGTTTAAGTTTATAAGCATACATTTTTTCCTAAACAAAATACTATCTACAGGTTAAATTATAATTATTCATAAGATGCAGTGAACCATAGTAGGACATATTATATATATAGAGCATATTAGGACCATAGTCAAAACATTGTTTAACAAATACCCAATTAAACTAATTATGTCAATATTATAATATGAAAAACAAGCTTATCCAAAAATGTATTGATTAATTATAATGTATTTAAAACAAAACTAAATTACTTTGTTATATATCAAAATTATGAGAAAAAAATTTAAAAAATCAATAATAGAAAATAAAATTACAAAAAGTTTAGGTAAAAATTGAGTTAGTTTGAATGGTGGCGATGGTGAGAGGGGGAGAGGTGTAACGACTGCAGAATTTTTTAATACTCCGTCTACGATAATCGAACATTATTTCGAAGGCAGCATAAAAAGTTTGACAAAACTCGTTAGGGTCGAAAATGTTTCCGGTTCGCGAAAACGCGGTGACCGCGAATCACAACAGTTTCCGCATAGAATCGTCAGAGCGACGAGGAAACATAAGACTCGATTGCAAACGTCGTACTCACTTAATCTCATAAACGTAGAACGGTCATGTTGATCACGATAGGACGGGCAGCCGAAGAAACGCTAAACATTGTTGCGTCGTAGCGTCTCGATGGTTATTTTCTGCGTTCGCCTAGGTTTGCGACGTAAGAGGTTGGCTCTTGCACGTGAACTCGATTTTATCAAATATCTATTAAATGCACATCGATCGTGAACGTAGAAACACGAAATCCAACCGAACAAGCACACTCGAACCTCACGGCTGCCCTCAAACCGTGTCACCGTCTTACGCCGTCGGCCCGTCCATTATTGGTTTTTCAAAAATTTTAACGGGCATCTGTAACAGCGAAGGAGGTGGTGGTGGTGGAGGCGGCGGCGGTGACGGTTGGTAACAGCGCTGGAGACGGCGGTGGCGGCGGCGTTAGACGTGCATCTGAATCGGTGCGCGTAATAGCCGGGTTAGCACGGCGACGGACGGACGGAATCGGTTTCGTTACGTTACCGTGGCGGAGCGCTGCTAGTGACGAGGCGGTGACGACGGGAGTGGTTCGGCCGGAACCCCGGTGTCTCGGCGAAAGAGAAGATCGGGAGGGGTATCGGTGTGGTGCGACGACCGTATGTCGTCGTCGGCGGTCGTCACGATTCACGGTCGTGGTCGTCGGCCGCAACGGAACAACGACATCCGGGGGGGAAGGGGGGAAATGCACAAAGAATCGGTTCGCGCTTTTACGCCAGTTCGTCAACCCCGTTTGATATTTTATCATTCGCGTGGTATTGCAGCGCGCGTACTTGCTTTATTACGTACCGGTGCACTCGAACTCGTCCCCCACGTAATCGGACGGCGGGTTGCGGGGGTACGTGCGCGCGCGCGCGCACCGATCCGTTACTGCGGCGGTATAAACGTTACGTGTCGCGCGCGTAATGCCCGCATGCGTTTGACTATAATTTTTTTTCCCTATCCCCGTCGCGCGTCGGCCTTTTCTCTCGCCCCGCCGTTACACGCGGTCGACGTTTGTCCGTCGCGCGATTTCGCAACGACAAATGAAAATGCACCCGGTCCTCTCGGACGTACATCGGCCAAGACCCCGTTTTCGATGCGCGTGAAACGACAGTCGGGCTCAAGGCAAATCTCACGTTAAAGAATCGTGCTCGTGCATCCGTCGCGCCCAGTTGCATCAAACATTTATATCCGTGTGCTTACCAACGACATAACAGAAATTGATTAAAAAAATTACATTTACGTAAATGAATAATTTCGATGATATGATAACAATCAACATTTGTAAACGTTGCTCGTCCAAGTGACGAACAGCGCTAGACGGCTGTTGTAACCCGTTATTTTGAAACATCCAATGGAAGTACTCGGATACAGTGACGATGATGGATATGATGGTACACGGATAAGAAGATTCAGTTCAGTAGTCGCCCCTTGATAGGACTCGTTTAGGGATCGGTTCATTTGAGTCCATTAGTTGAATGATTCAACAAGCAACGATAGATGCTCAAAATTATTTAAATTAAAAATATTTATTGAGATTTCAGTAATACAAATATATTATGTAATATACGTATTATGCATAGTAATAACAAAACGTACGGGTTAAATATAAATAATAAAATTATGTATTTCGGTTGAATAGAAAAGTATTATAAGTAATATTAAGTACTGTTATAAGTATTATTAACAACTTAATTAATTTTTTGTATTCTTGTACCTACCTAATTAATTTATGATAGAAATCCATCGAATAATTTTTAATTACTTAATAGTCGATTTAACCGATGATTTTTTTTCGCTGTTAGTACACGTACAAATCGGGACAACCTATTTTAAGTCAAATGCAGGCAAATTGAGAATCCAACAAGCGGCGACCACTGCATTATAAAAATGTGTTGACTCGAGATGTGCGAACGTTTTGTACAAAATATTCCAATATTCCGAGGACATTTTGTAAAATATGAGGTACACCGTGGATTAAATAAACCTCGTGTAAAAAATATAATGTTTTACTTTTATTGAAGTGAATTTCTATTGACTACAGTGATGGTCTTAAAAAAAATAACCGGCGAAAATTGTTTAACATTATAATGAAAACAGTTCAATACTTTAGATTGGTTTTAAGTACGTTAGAAATGTTCAAGTACGATTATTAAATTATAGAATAGCTAATGATTTCACTAGATCTGGAAAATAAACACGGAGAAGAATTTAAATGATTTATTAATTACGATTATCGCAATATCGACTAGACCAGCTAACACAAAGAATAAGGATAGAATAGTTTATACAGACTCTTCGGACTAGGTCTCCAAATAATGGGACTATGTATTTTTTTTCTTTATTTTTATCTAATTAGATACCATATCTTACCATTTCTGTACATTTGAGCCTTTGATTTCATTATTAAAACATGTGATATCGATTATTTATATTCCATGAACATTTTTATGCTCGTTGAAGTGAGTATGAAAAGTGTAATTATGGATATAGTCAAAACGGAGATAATAATTAATAATGGGCTTGTGAATTGCTAATCGTTATACCTACACATAATTTTATATTATCTTTTGTATTCTTACACTTTTATGTTGGATGGTTTGAGTAAATATTACAATCTAAATAATCATATTAGACAGCAACTAACCTATAAATTTAAATATTTGAATTATGACTAAAATCGTTGACATAACGTTTACGATAAGATATTCGATTAGAATAAACGATCAAGTCATACGCTTTAGTTATAATGAGTGAACATACAAAGAAAGCCTTACACAATACACGTACTATTATAATATGAGACATTAATACATTTATACGTACGACATTAATTACTTTAGCGTAAACGCAATCATTATTTATACTTTAATAACAGGGACATTAATATGTCTATGCTTAATAATAATGCGCATCATGATAAAATATCATTCCACCGGTGTTATCAATTCTGACGTAATGTATTCAGTATATCGTTTATCATATTTTATTAATAATATGCATACTATTATAAATCTGCTTGTTTAATCAGACGTGAATATCAGTTAATATTGGCTTGGCCAAGGATTTACTTCCGATATCGCCATCTGCAAACGGCTGATCGTAATATGCGTTATCAGGGATTCGATTTACTCAAAGTGTTTTTAAACGTTTATAAAGATCAGCATATTATTTAACTGCCACGTGAAAACGATTCATTATATTTGTATGATAAATGTGGTTTTTGCATACACGGATGTTCGCGGTAAAAATTACCAATTATTTTTGTTGCCCCTCTATTCTCCCGTTTTAGATAGCACAGTTTACTATAGCGGACTGCAACGACCGCAAAATAATATTCTTTATAATAACGCGTATAATTATGTGCGCTGTAATTAAAATAAGATGGTTTTCTTAAATAATTTGAAATACGATACTTTGAGCAGACGTGTAAACCAACAGGAAATAATGATATATTCATTGATAATAAAGCAGGGCTCTAGATATTAATATCTATAGCCGTGTAGTAAAGTATTAACTGTACGTTCATTGTTTTCCTTATTGGGTTTTTTGAATTTAAATTCGAAAAAATAGGGATTTAACATTAAATATTTTTACTGAAAATCAACTGTAAAATTAAAAATAATTAAGGTTGGTTAATACTATTCTGCTGAGTATACGAAGTAAATATAGTAATATAATATTATGTATTTTGATTGCTTTATGTCTCATTATAAGAATATAATGTAATTACAATTATACAAGTCTGTAATCCATATTATATCAACGGAATCATGTAATGGTATACAACAATATAGTGCATGTAGCCAATATAACGACACAAGCGAGTAACGTCAAATAAGTCAACAGTAAGTCATAATAGTAATAATAATAATAATAATAATTATTATTATTATTATTGTGTGTTTAACTATGTTAAAAAAACTGTTAAACTTTAATATTTTTTAAACTATCTCTGAGACATTACTCCAATATTTACTGTTCATGTGTGTGTTGTATATGTACACACTTCAATCAGATGTTTGAATGTATCCAATCGCGCTGTAGTGTAGACAAACACGAAGTATCAATAAGGTAATAAAAAAAAACTAGTCTTAGCGTGGGTCGACCGTAATGGATCTAAATATTTTAATGTACAAGCCCGATGCCGTCGCCGCGGCCGCTGTTTCGGCCTTCCGGCATAATAATAGTTATTATTCACGTCCACGTTGTGGATTCATGTGAGCGTGAGACTCTTTCAAAAATATAATCTTACCATGAAGTAAGATCCTTGACTTTTAATTTAGAAAAATTAAACTTTGTGACCACTGGCATTGAAATTTCGATGCATAGTATCCGTTGAACGCGATTACTTACCAAATATTGCCACATCACCACGACGGAACGTATACGTCAAGTTTCATGTTACTTGTATGTACACTGATATTGTACGGCATATCATACACATAAATTATGTACCCATAATGATGTATGGGCACACAACAAGAAATAACACCGGAACGAATATAAAAAATAATGTTGAAATTTCAAATAGGAAAGGATATAATAATTTACAAATTACTCACAACTACAATATATAATTCTGCCAGAAAACACCGAAAACATACAATTTACATGTAATTTGTGTCACACACAAATACACTTGGTATGTGCGTACAAACGCAGAAGATTTGCATATGATGCATAGCTTTTTAAAGTTCTTAAAGGCAATCTCGTTTTCATACACAACATTTGGAAATTATTGGGGGGGGGGGGGGGTCTAAAGGAGTCGTCAAAAAAAAACCGTTTTTTTCAAAAAATTTTCCCCGAACAGCACATGGACCGTAAAATGTAATTTTTGGGTACAAGACATTGGTCCCGAGGGTGAACGATCATGTATCTACAAAGGTACATGTATACGTATATATATATATGTGTGTGTGTGTGTGTGTATAATATATGTATTGGGGCAGCCGAACGAGAATGGGAACGTTTCGCTGTCGTTATATATAACTTATAAGAAACGACAAGGGACTAAACAACCATTCCACAAGGGATATTATGTAGGTATACATCTGTATAGTAGTGCATACGTCGCCGCACCGGTTCAGGTTATACACTACACCGCTTATATGACCATACGGGGGGATATGGTAAGAATCGCACGATAGGTAAACCGACACGTAGTGTGAGTGTATATATGTATATATAATGTGTTAGAACGAAAAAGATTTCATTGGACGGCGGTAGTGGCACAGCAGTCGGACCGACGGTTATTTTTCAAATAGGATTTTTTTTTCGGTCAAGGTGAAAATGTCGAAATCATCCATTGATACGCGTTTTATTGCGTCTCGGAAAATTTTTTTTTTTCATCGTAACGCTTATAATATACACGGGATTCATGTAACGCCCTACATGCATATCCATCGATAAATAATTAAATTATCATTGTAAAATAAATTACAACGTACGAGTACACACGCGCATGAACAACTCAATAAAATGATAACGCACGTGTGTTGGGTTACCCTACCATTATTACACTTGTATATATACACGAAATTGGTCCATGTCAACAATAAGAGATAAAACAAAGATATAAATATTTTTTTAATACATATTCAAGTTTTTAATGATGTTTTACATACAGATATTGTTATAACTTACACGTGCTTTATTTGTACATTATTACTGTATTTACTTGCATGGCGTATATATTAGGCCATTTGCTAGTATTTAATCTGTCTATAAGTAAGAAAAAAGTATTTCTATATGTAGATAATATGTTAGAATATTTGGATATTCGATTTGTATAAAGCTAACCATTTTTCGTTTTTGCATAAATACTGCATAATTTATTTTACATGTCATTTTTTTTTTGTAGCAAATACTAACTATAAAAAAAAAAAAAAATGTAAAAAAAAACTTTTCTTATTATGTAATGTTGTCATATTTTTCATTTTTTAAGTGCATCAATACAGTAATCATTAGTGGTAATAATTTCGATCAAAATAAAAAGTCAATTTTTACTGCGGTTAAAAACTACATTTTCGTTTAGAAAAAATACCCATCATTTTTAATAATCCTTAACCCAAAGCAGAAGGTATCTGGTTTTGATCTCTTATCGAAACGAAAATTGCAGATAAACCTTCATAGAGATAATAGTCACTATCGTACAAAAATTATTTTCCCGCCTACCTAATATATAAATATATATATAGATATTTCTGTTAATTTAAAAAAAACTTAAAAAAATAAGGTTATTTA